GCTGGTATCGGGTACGACGGTCTTCATCAACTTCTCCATCATGCTTCTCGAGCACGATGCCGGAAGGCAGGGGAGTACGAGCTTCTTTACACGAAGACATCCGGAAACGTTCTAGAACTCCTTCGATATAGGAAGTCTGATCGATCCGGATTTTACGCGCTTTGCGATCACGAACTATGTTCAGACCAAGGAAATCCTTCGCAGGACCAAGATCTGTCATTTTGAAGCGGTTCGCGAGCATTGATTTGATCCGCGCTATCTCCGGCAGATTGTTGCCCATAATGAGCATATCGTCAACATACAGCACCAAGATGATGACCGTATCTCCCATTTGTTGGCGATATGTGTAGACACCGGCGTCGGAGTATGTCCGAGCAAAACCAAGTTCGAGGAGGGCATTGTGGATTTTGATATTCCACTGACGAGACGCCTGTTTCAACCCATAGAGTGATTTACGAAGGCGTGCCACCTTTTCTTTTGGCCATGACGAGAAACCTTTGGGTAATTCCGGAAGTTCCATATAGATTTCTTCCTCCAGATCCCCATTTAGGAATGCCGTTTTGACATCCATGGCATGAATCTCCCAATCTTCGAGAGCAGCCAGAGCCATAAGTATGCGCAAAGATTCGTAGCGCAATACTGGCGAGAAGGTCTCATCATAGTCAAACCCATGAACCTGAGTGAATCCCTTGGCAACAAGTCGTGCTTTGAAACGACCGTCACGCTTCCTGCTAAACACCCATCTGCATTTGACAGTCTTTCGACCGCGTGGAAGGCTGGTCAAATCCCAAGTACAGTTTTCCTCGAGAGAGTCCAGTTCTTCGCGCATCGCGCGCTCCCACTTGAGTGCATCCGGGCTCTTTGCTACGTCCCGTACGTTTTGAGGCAAGTCATGCTCAGCTTGGGCAGCTGATAACATGGACTCAATGCTGCTAGGCCTCTGATACGTAGTTCCATCTGGCATAATGCGGGGCTTATTCCGACGAGGGCGGCGATGGGCAATCGGGCGATCGTCTATCGGGCCAGGCATTAGGGGTACTTCTCGCGATCCCGTGACAGGACCTTGTTGCGCGAGGGGTGCCGGTGGCGGTGGGAGAGCAGGAGGTGGTATGCTTGCATAAGGCGTTGCAGGCGCAGGATTATTGATAAGGTCAGGGAAGGTTTCCTCGAATGGTGTGAACGGCTCCGGTCCAGAGGACACATTGCCGGTGACTAGCTTGGACTTGGCAGGGAATACTCGCTCATCGAACTCGACGTTTGAAGAGATTCGTGTCTTGCGTTGATTCGGATCCCACACTTTCCAAGCTTTTGTCTCTCGTTCGTATCCAACGAAGATGTGGTCGGGGCGTCCATGCTCCAACCCTTTCGGGCGTTTTTCAACATCCACATAGAGAGACGCCTTGCATCCAAACACACGGAAATAAGAGACGTCTGGCTTCTTTCCAAGCCACAGTTCCGCAGGTGTTCGCCATCCCAATCGTGCCATAGGTTGTCTATTATGAACGTGGACAGATGCATCCATAGCACATTGCCAGAAGCCTTTGGATAGGCCGGCATCGAGGCGCATGCATTCCGCTTTCTCGTAGGCTGTGCGATTCCAACGTTCAGACCTCCCATTTTGCTGTGGTTCGCGTGGCGCGGACTTAGGGTGCATAATACCACGTGCATTGAGCCAGGCTGTGAGTTCATCGGACATATATTCACCTCCACGATCTGACCGGAAGGCCAGTACTTTTGTGCCGAGCTGACGCTCTACAAGGGCAACAAAGTTTTTAATCGCGGTAGAGGCTTGGTCCTTTGATTTAATGAACACCATCATGCCAAAGCTCGAGAAATCGTCGTAGAACGAAATTGTGTAGCGTGAACCTTCCAACGACTGAGTAGGCCAGGGGCCCATCAAATCAGTGTGGATAAGTTCGAGGGGTTTGCTAGCACGTTTCTCTGATGCAGGGTACGGATGCTTGTGCTGTTTTCCAAGCATACATCCATCGCACATGCCGCGCTGGTCTTTATTGCGTCGCAAGGGGGGAACACCTTCAACTTGTGTCGGCAAGTGAGTAAGGGTCCTCCGAGCCGCATGACCAAAACGCTTATGCCACAATTCACGATCGGTAGTTTCCAGGGAAGCAAGCGCGGTAGACTCGTGAGATGCAGACACAGATGGTGCCACGAGCTCCTCGGGGTAGTACCAGTAGCAGCGATTGCTTGCTTTAAAGGTCATCAAGACATCCCCATGCGCTTTTCCCTTGTTGAGCCAATCCTTGGTGACTAGGATTGCCTTGTTGTCACCAACCACGGTGTAGTAACCAGCCTGATCGAGCGCATACCCAGAAAGATAGCGCCCTCTTATGTGCGGGTTGTAGATGACATCCTTCAGAGTGAAGGTGTAGTCCATGCCACTACTAGTATGACCCCGCAACACAATATCTCCAATGGCTTCATTCTTGAAGCGAGCTCCCGACCCAACGACTACATAGGTGTCGATAGGTCTGATGTTGTGAAGATCGGATCGGGTGTTTGTCATATGATGTGTGCAACCCGAATCCCATAGAAAACGAACTTTGGAGTCGTCTCCCATTTCTTCAACAAAAATTCCATCATCGTTGTGTTGGAGGGAGTCACTCATGAAATAGGACGAGAAGTGCATTCCATTAGAAGAAGAAGCTGCAACCGCGGGAGCGGCTACAACCTCTTTGTTGTTTACAGTGCTGGTACCATCACCACTATTCTTCTTCTCCTTCTTCTTTTTCTTCTTCCCCTCATCCTGCTTCCCCTTGCCTTTGTCAGAAGATTGACCAGTAGGCTTGAGGTTGGGATACTTCTTGTAGCAGGATGCCGCAACGTGACCGGACTTGTTACAATGAGTGCAGCGGGTGGCGAGGGACGGAACGGTGGAAATCTTCGAGTTCGACGTCGTGTCGAGGTTCTCGATCTTGATATTCCCAATGACGCTGTTCTTGACATCGACCGGGTTCAAGGAAGCGATAGGACGATTGGCCAGATAAGAGGTGACAAAACCTCTGCTGGAAGCGGGTAAGGCGGCGAGCATGAGAGTCGCGAAGAGGTAGTCGGGGATCTCGATTCCTCCTTCCGAACACTGGCGACGACGAGTCTCCATTTCCATGATTTGCTTCTCAATGGTGTCACCACCATGGAAGGTGGTGGTGTTCAGGAGGCGGTACTCGACGAAAGCATCGATGGCATTTGGCTGGCCATAATCCGTCGCCATTTTCGCCCAAACTTTGCGCGCAGTGCGCTCCCGCTGACCGTCCATAAAGATTCCCTTGCGCAGATTCTGGGTAATATAAACCCGCGCAAGACCCAGTGCCTTTTCATTGGCAACGTCCCATTGATTTTGGGAGTCCCCAGCAGTTGAAGGACGTTCGACTGCACCAATGTTTGCAGCTGGTGTACCGTTAACCGTGATATAAGAGGGTTTCACAACCCCCCAAGTGCCCTGGTGCATGCATATGCTCATATAGTTGTCCGACCAAGTGTTCCAGTTTGTGCCGTCAAAGACGCTCAGGATGGAATTGTTGAGCTTTTCTATCCCGGACATTGTGGGAAGAAATTCGATGACGTCGGCGATGTGATGGTGGAGAAGAGTGGGTTCGACGTATGGAGGATCTCCAAACAGAAGACGAAGCGCGACGGTGAAATTTCCTTGCGCCTGATCGCTGTTCTGATTGTCGATATCACCAACCCGATAGATGTCACCGGTGATGGATTCGATGGGAAGATAGGAGTGTCCGAAAGTCGTCCAAGAGTTAACAGGGTATAGGATAACCCCAACAGGAGGATCGTTCGGTGATGACAGGGTGATAGAGATGAAGACTAGAGCGACGAAGTCAGCCCCAGATTCTCTGCAGACCAAGAAACAAAATCCCAAGTGCCAAGTCTCTGAAACGAGAACGACCAAGCGTCCCCATCCCATCCATGATGCCCATATACGCGCGGGGAATGATAACGAAATAAAGCGGTATAGTAAGTGCCCATATTTGTATCAAAGTAACGTAACTATATACGTCAGCGGCAGCAGTACCCGACGGTGATTACTGCCCTCGCAGTCCGTCACTGGCCAAGGGACACGTGCCCAAGGCCGTCCCAAGCACCGGGTTTGGCCGCCCATCTTCTCCCTTTTAAAGACATGCATACACGCAGAGCGTCATTGCATGAATCCTCGTAGTGTCACCAGCCCGCAGGGTCCCTTGTGAGGAATGCGAGTCAACCCCGAAGGATTGTTTTGCCTGGCGGAGGGATTGACCTCCAGCAGCTGTTGAGAGCTACCACACCACCTAGGCGCTTCGCGCAAGGTTCAGGAGTGGGATTGACCAAAGGACCAGTGCCTGGTGGGTATGTCCGCTGTACAATAAAAAGATGTAACGTAAAACGCGCGCGAGCAATCATGGACGGAATAGCTAACGGCGCGTCTGCCAACTGAATGACTCCCTGACGCCGCTCGCGTAACCCCTTGAGGGTGAGAGCACAAATGCGAGGACCGACATCCAGCAAGTGGGACGAGCGCACAAAGACGGCGCTCTAGAAGGGCTGAACGAGTGAAAGATACTCGCCTTAGTAAAGGGAGTAGTTCGATGTTTCTTGATTTGCCGCTAGTGGTTCAGGCGGGGCCCATAACCTGTCGCAGACAATACCGCGCAGTGGAGATACGACCAGTAGCGATCACCTATAGAGACAGAGTCTCAGCGAGTGTAGAAGACACAGAGCTAACATTAGCAGTACCTATAGAGACAGAGTCTAGGTACAAGTCATGAGTATGAGTCGTAAGAGATCATAAGAGAGTATGCATACCTCAGCGAGTGTAGAAGACACAGAGCTGAGGATATGGAGCGTATAGTACTAGGTTTATATACCAGTCTGGAGCAGATATCATGATGTCATAGTGGAGTAGTGATATCATAGATGAGTAATGGATGACGCAATAATGAGGTCAGGTATGAGGTCATTGTGGAGCGAGCCAAAGTAATCTAAAGATACTACATATGATGTCATGTCTACATACTGTGATAGTCGCTAATACAAACAAGCTTCAACAGCGCACACCAGATCACGTGGAGCCTGAGGAGATCCGAGACTACGACCCCAAGGCCCCGCTAGTGCAGGAGACTTTGACGGAGGAGGAGGAGCAGGAGAAACGAGCGCGGATTCAAGCTCACAATGGGGTGCGTAACGTGTGAATATGCCATCAGGAACGTGACACTCATCGTTCTCACAGCGCATCACTCGCTGGTACGCCTATCGAATTCGACGCGCTCTGAAGCGACAACGGGAATGCGGTCTCGACCCGCGCAAGGATCCCTTCGCGGTGCTGATGGGGAAACTGTCCGGAATCACTCGCCCACCGAAAGCGCGTCAGGGATGGCAGCAATATATGCGTGAAGCGAAAGCAGTGGTGGATCCTATCATCCAGCAGAAGCTGGAGGCGCTGCCGGAGGGGGCTTCAAAACGTGGAGATTTTCGGGCTGGGGTCGTGCGGAAGCTTTTCAGGGAGCTGGAGCAGGAGGAGCAGAAAGCCGTACAACAACGCGCCGCCGCTGAGGGGGATGTGAAGAAGGCTGAGTATGCTGCAAGCCTCGCTGCCGAACCACCTAGGGATCCATTGAGTCGACATTGGTGAGTGTGCATGAATTTGAGAGAGCGTTCGCTGATGTGTCTCCCCGACTAGTGCAATCAAGGCCCTGGACAGTTTCATGCGCCCCATTATCAAGGGTGTTCACGAACGCACTGGCCTCCATGTTACGATGCTTGTAGGAGGTCCGATGCCGGAGTTCGGTGGCGAGCTTGGGACACATCTGTGAGTTACAGAGACGCCTCTGACGCGACATGTTCTGACAATGCTCTAGCATTTCCTGTGGCGAAAACAGAGCGGCCGACGCAGTTCACTGGGGCCAATGGGATGCGAAGAGATTCAAACGACACGTTACCGACTTTTTCCTGGAGTATCTCGAGACTGCATTCAGTATGTGGATACAAACTGTGTCTGCCTAGCGTATGTACTGACGAGATGATAGCGAAAGCGGACTGTGAAGCTTCTGCGCTGGCAGCAGATGGGCTGAATGATGGGTTGCTGGTCGATTCTACCATGCTCGCTACCGCCAAGTACAAGATTGCGTCAAAGGATGACGATTCATCCTCCTCCTGCTCCGACAATTCTGACGACGAGGATCTGGCCTCGAGCGATTCGGAGATTGATATGGAGCGCGAGCAGCTTGCGGCGGCGGTTGAGGGTAGACAGGGCGGGTCGTTGAAGGGGAGAGGGAAGCGGAAGGAGCGAACAAAAGATAAGGGGAAGGAGAAGGAGGGAACAAAGGATAAGGTCGCAAAACCCCGAGCCAAGCGCAAGGCGAAGGCGAGCGAGAATGCGGGCGCATCCACCACCGTCCCATCCACAACCAGCGCATCCCCGAGCGTGCCAGCCACAACCCTCCCATCGACAACCAGCGCATCCACCACCGTCCCTTCCACAACCAGCGCATCCACCAGCTCTGTTGGTGTCACAAACGGTAGCGGCGTCTCATCAAGAACATCGTCCCCGGCACCGTTGGCGAGTTCACGCGAATCCTCGCCTGTTGCTGAGACGACGGCAGCTCTTACGTCTGAGGACAGAGGGGATGATGAAGAAGATGTGGAGGCCAAGGAGGCAAATATGACCCCGGAAGAGCTGAAACGTCATCGCCTGCCGGAGCCCTGCAAGACTTTGGTCACCTTTTTGACCAAGCATGGGACGGCAACATACGAGGACTGGTACGCGGACGTGCCTGACAGTGACCTGCCCTTCATGATCATGCGGCGCCGTAACATCGCGAAGAATCAGGCCATGCTGAGGGCGCTGAATCTCGAGGGGGCTGTGGACGGTCTGAGTCGGTCCGAGGGCAAAGAGGCAGCCCCGGCTGTGAAGAAGAAGCGACGAGCATCGAGGTCTTCGGCATCCGCTGGTGGTCCGGAGAAGAGGAGGAGGTCGAGCAGATTGGCGGTGACATCACCAAATGAGGGTTCCTCGAACGCGGGTGCGGGCGAAGAAGATGAAGAGATGGAGGGTTCTCCGGTACCAGGGAGCGCGAAGGATGGGGCGGATGGATCACAGCCAGATTCCGGAGCCAGCAGCGCCAAGAATGGGACGGATGGATCACAGCCACCTCCAGGAGCCAGCAGCGGAAAGGATGGGATGGGAGGATTGCAGGGATCGTCATCTGTGATCGAACAACGCATGCGACCAATCTGCCCCATCAAAGCGGATGTATGGTTCAAGACCGCGCACCAAAACATGGTGCAATTTGACCTGGGGCCTCATTTTGATGCGGTGGTGGAGGCTTGGACGAGGACCGAGGCTGCCTCGCGCTATGAGGTTGCGGATACCAAACTGCCATCGGAGAATCGCCCAGCGGAAGTTTCAACCTGGATCAAAGGACAGCGGCGAAAGGTGCCTGAGATTCGGGATGTCAATCGGTTTGGGATGCAGTTTATGGCCTGGTGGGGTGGGATGCAGCCAGATTGGCGGAAGCAAGACTCGTCGAATGGTGGATGGACAAGAGGTTCATATGGGGAGGAATGGGGGGAGCTGTTTCAGTGGGGCCCAAACGGGGTTTTATCGTTGGTTGCCGGGCTGTGCTTCTGGGGGAATGCACTGACGGCCGAAACATCGGCGGTGGATCAAGAGAAGTGGCTGGAGGCTGTGATCGACGTCGGATGGATGCTGGAGGGCCTAGCTACACATTATGGGCGGTGGAAAGGGCGGGGACGGTGGTAGATTAGATTACGTAGATTAGATTACTGTGGTAGACTAGATTACGGAGGGTGATTGATTGTCACTCGGGGAATGCCTAAGATTGAATGTAATCGATTGGTGTCGGGATGGCTGGATAACACGTGACGGGACACGTAACCAAGAGTGCCCGCCTGCAAACAACAGCGCGCTCCTATAAACAACAGCGCGTGCGCCTATAAACAACAGCGCGCGGAACGAAAACGAAGGGAGGAAGGGTGGCGGCGGTAACGGCGGGGAAGTGATGCGACAGGCGGTAACAGCCGAAGGGCAGTGATGACGGGGCGGGAAGCGTCGATCGGTGATATGACTCACAGCGATGATGGCGGGGCAGCGACGGCCAACAATCAGTGATATCACTAAGATGATGGTACACGTGAGGGCGGGGCGCGCGGTAACAACGATCGCGCTAAGGACGATCGCGGTAACGACAATCCCGCCGGTCACTGTCAGTGTCTATCATGGTGATGGTGTTGGCATCTGGACTGTTGCCGTAGTCTGCCGGGCGTACAGCCCATACAGCCACATCCTTTGGCTACTACCAAAGATTTGAAAGCAATTCTTTTGGCTACTACCAAAACTTTTAGACTAAAAACTAGGGCTATGGCTCTTGTCGATGATAACAGAGGCTTAAGGTAACATTAGAATGTCGTTCGGATCCACGCATCCCTGGTCAACCGGCATGACCAGGGCAGGCATCTCCTCATCATCGAGATCCCAGATCTCATCGATCCCGGAGAGCGCCAGGAACCGCTCTGCAACGCGGACACTCTCATCGTGGGTGATTCGAAGGAAAGGGTCGGACGGGAGATCACCGAACAGGTAGTCGGTAACCAACGCGGGGAGCGCGCCTTGTCCCGAGGCCACGCATGTGGATTCGTCGTCCTCGTTGACCCGAAACGACGTCAAGTTGGCCAGATTCAGCATGGGCGGAAGTGGTTGAGTTCCAGCCAGCGCGTCGTCGTCTTCATCGTCGGGAACAGCCACAAACGCAGCGAAAATGTCCTCTGGCTTGCACGCTGACCCAAGTGCCTGCTTCAGAAGAGCATCCTCGACGCTGTCTTCGTGAGGAGTTTCGAACTTCTCTCCGCGACGCTCGAGACTCTTTGGAGACGGGGTATTCACGATGTTCTCAAACGCAGGACGAGACGGGGTGGGCGGATGAGCGGGGTTGTCCTCGAGGACGGGCTGTTGGCCCTCTGGAAGAACGTCGGGCTTGGGAGCAGCTTGCGGCTCTGGGACAGTCGCATCGGAGCTGGAAGCCGAGTGAGCTTACGAAACAGAACAGAAGATGCACCAGGTACCTCCGCTTTAGTCGTTTCGTCGGCTGGTCATTGCAGTTCGCAGACGACACGGTGCTGAGAAGGAAGCATCAGCAGCGAGAAAGATGAAAGGAGACGAGAGGCTACCCACCGAGGGCGTTTCGCAACACCAGGCGTCGAGTTGTGATTGGTCGAAACAGCCCCAGCAACAGCAGGCTGAGCCATCAGCGGCTGGTAATGTGGCTGTTGCTGCCATTGCAGCTGCTGGTGGGACACCGGCTGGACCTGCTGCTCTCTCTGCAAGAACAGGCGCTGGTTCTGCATGACGCGAGCCATCTCCGACTGAAGCGCCGCAGATGGGGCGGCCATGTTTGCAGGCGGAATCGGAGCAGCAGCGGGGGTGGGGGCTGGAGCAGGAGCGGGATTCCAGTGTGGATAGTACCGAAAAGGATCGGAAGTCGCAGCAGGGACTTTTGAGGGGCCGGCCGTGCTGCTGGCGCCAGCATGTGCGTTTGGGACGGGAGCTGGGGTAAACTGGTTGACTGGGACAGTCCCCGCAACGGGATACAGGAACGTGAAGCCCGACGGGGGAAGATTCGGAGTCGGGATTGAACCCTGAACAAAGTTGGGAACGGTCGTGAAGGAGTGTATAGGCTGAGGGTTGTGAGACGATGGGGCTTGCGGCGGCACAGCTTGTCGTCGGACAGGCCAGCCATAGGGCGCGCCACCGTTATGCACGCGCACGACATCTCCGACCCCGAGTGAGGAGCTCGGTGCGCTCGCAGCGGGCATCCGCGCCGCCCTGGGATGGAAGACTATCGCACGTGCGGGGTGCGGGACTGCAGCCTGTGGGATCGGCCACCCGTGCAGCGCGCCGCCGTTATTGGCAGGGCTGTACATATGATAAGACGGGATCGGCGCCGCCTGGGCACCGGGGTGGAATGAGTGTGTCGATTGCGGATGCTGAGGCCATTGGGCTTGGGGCTGCGCAAACTGCTGGATGGTATGGCTGTTCGGATCGCTGCTGGGTGCATACACGAGATTGCCAGCAGCATAGGCATTGGTCGGGGCATTCGTAGTGGTCGTCTGTGCCGCCAGGGCAGCGAAGGATGGGTCGTATGGGGATGAGAGCATCGTGGAATGAAGCAGTGTTCGGGCTATCAAAGCTCGTTCGTGCGTGCAAAGGTCAGATAAAGTGCGTTCGGGAAAGACACCAGGCGCAGCAAAGCGCCGCCCAGCGCACGCCCTGTCTTTATAAACCCACCTTGACCGGCCTCACCCAATGTGTTGCACAATGAGAAGCCAGGTAAGGATGCGAATCTGATCTTATCTCGACAGCGCTTATCAGGCTCCCAAGCCGTGGACCTATATCCGTGAGCACGACCCAATCCATCAGAGAAGAGCATCTTGTGTCGATAGGCGGGGAAGACAATGGATTGATGCCTCGGAAGACAGGCCATGGCGATTTACGTGCAGACAGAAGAATCGAGGTGATCATGATGCTGGATAGGTCGCCACAAACATGTCAAAGTCTGAAGCGCCTATCTGCCAGTGAGACATTTTCTCGTGCAGAATTGCCGCCCACGAGCAAATGCTTCACACGCCTGAGTCTCGTCTCAGCACTACGTGCGCACCAAATGAAGAAACCGCAAAGATTTTGCGGCTATCCATGACGTCGCATAGCTTGATTGAGTCGCAGACCTGGCCGAAAGTACGAAAATGTGGCCTGATTGTGACGTAGTCTGGAAGGTGGATTTTCCGGCATCTCACCCGGCGGCATCTGATGCATCCTGATGCATATATCCTGGCAGTGATCTCGAAAGGTATCCCAATTAGAACGTCGGCTGAGACAATGGATGACGAGGGAAGCACCAAGACATCCCGGTGTCTTCCGATCTTGCCTTGTATTTCCCAATCACAGCTTTGAGAGTAATTCCCTCGGCCGAGACAGCAACCGGAGGCTACTGACTAGCGCGCGCCGAGTCCATCTCAGGCCCGCAAAGCCGAGGATCCAAGCTTCCATCGGGGAAACTTGTTTTTACCGACGAAACAGAGATCAGATCGCGGCATTGAACGCCGAGATGTAGAGATATCCGACCAGGCCCGTTTCAGCATTGCGTGCGGAGTGCGAAGACCACTGGCAGGGCAACGCGGCCGACGAGCGATTCAAGGTCTCGAGCGTTTGTATTCTTGACAAAGAGGCTCACCTTGGATTATGACTGGAGAATTTTCTACATGGAAATTCAAGACGTTCACTGTACCATGCACGTGTTGGGGATCAGGCTCTGATTGTTGAGCCGTCCGTCGACAACAAGGTGAGCCCGTTTATATCACTTTTCGCATGCTTCATTGATGACCCTTTATTCAAGAGAGCTTAAAGTCGAGATCGGAAGCTGTGGTGCCAGCAGATACGACCCTAGCAGGAAATTGGGAACGTTGAGGTCCGAGGAAGTTGAAGCTCCTTTAGGGATACTCGGCTGCTCGACACTTGTTTTCATGGCGGCGGTCATCGAATTCATGTGAACCCTACGTCAGCTATCTTCTGGAAGAGAGCTCTTCACACTAGCGAGTGGCTTACTTTTGCTCCTAAACTTTGCGCAGTAGAAACTCGGCGTCACAAACACCGAACCTGCATTTCGGAATGAAATTTGAAACCTTTTACCGCTCCATCGAAGAGCTCTGGTGTCGGAAAGCAAGCGTGTCATGCTTTTAGGGTGTTATATGAAATTTGCGGTTCGTTGGCTGCTGCGACCGAGCTGCGGCCGGGTTCTCAATTAGTACCCGAGCTGCGGTAAAGATCCTGACTACTGCGATCAGATCACCACGGCCTCATTCGATCAAACGTCACTGCGCAGACCTGTCCTTTTAAACAGGCACCACGTCGAGGCACTCTATCCCCCACCGCCCCTTCCATGACGACTCGACTCTTCCTCTCGATTTTGACGTTGGCTACGTCTGCGCTAGCTGCTGGGGGAAGGAGCGATGACACACCAATGTGAGACTTCCCCGCGTTTTCCCGTTCGATCCTGATCTCGAGCCTGTATCTAGTGGTGGATATGTGCCCAGTGTGAGTTTTTCTCTCGCATCTTCTCTGTTGCTGTGTTGACGGCGGACCCAGAAATCACTCTCGATCACCGGAGTCGTGTTGTATGGATTGTCGGCACTCGTGATGTGGGCCCAATTCGCCCTTGTGCGACCGAGACGCCCTTTCATGCTTACCTTGACTCTTGGAATGACTGGTGCGTTGCATGTTGTCCTAGGTATTGCCTCAAGTTCACGTGAGCAGCCATGACCGTCGGATTCATTCTCCGATACCTCTACGCTACCCCGCCGTTCACGTTGGGCAAGTACATTGCCTGGGATATGGTGCGTTCAGAGCGATTTTTTTCAGATTTGATTACTTAACACCATGCAGTTCATCTTGCTTTCGGTATGGCACTCGTAAACCGTCCATCGTCTCCTCTGCTCACCAACGCCCTCCAGCCTTGTCTCTTCCTGGCCACAGACTACATGATCCTCTCCCGCCTCGCCGCCACCTTCAGTTCCGATGTCGTCTCCCGGTGCTTGGCCATCCGCCCGACCCGCGTCGTCAGGATATTCGTCTGGAGCGACGTCCTCACCTTCTTTTTGCAAAGCTCCGGAGGAGGATTGACCGCGTCCAAGAGTGCGAGCTCGGCCAAGCTGGGAACCACGGTACGGGTCTTCTTAGCCATGCAGAATTCGTGCGCTGACCTTGTCGCTCGTTCTAGATCGCCTTGATTGGGCTGATCCTCCAGGCCGTCTCGTTCCTGCTGTTCACGTTCCTTATGCTCACCTTTGCCTTCCGAGTGTGCGTCCGCCGTCCTAATTCCTCTTTTTTATCTGATGGAATCCAGGTCGAAACACTTCCCCCATATCTGGCAAGCTGAATACGCCGAGCCTTTCAGGATTTTCTCAACTCGACCCGTCGGAGACTGGCGGATCCTCATCTTCATGATGAGCGCTACCTGCGTCGGAATCTTGACGCGGTCCGTGTTCCGAATCGTCGAATATGCTGGCGGGTGCGTGCATTGCAGATTCGGATGATCCTGACTATGACACTGACTCTCTTTTTTCTAGATACAACGGATATGTGGCCACTCACGAATCGTTCTTCTACCTCTTCGACGCGCTCCCGCTGTGGCTTTCCATGTCGCTGTACTGCTTCGTTTGGCCCACGCGGTTCCTTCACGGTCGCGCGGAGAATGTCGCGCTTGGTACGGACCCCAAGTCGCATGGACTTGTTGAAGTTTAGATCGGACTTCTTTGTATACCCTAATGTATCTGTCTCAGTAGATAGAGTAGAGTTTGTAATTATATATTAGATGCTAGCTGTGAAAATTCATGGGATTCATCCATCCATTCACGATCCTAAGGTGTATCAGATTTAGGCTTCTTGATCAGACTGTGGGGCCCCATGTGTCGGCTGGAGCATCTTGGTACCGCTGTAATCAGCTGCTGGAAAAAATCAACATGCAATCATCTGTGCACAGAAAAGCACAGTGATGAGATCAACACGGTTGCAATTCGTTGGTAGTCATCACTCCGCCACGCAGAACAAACGGGCATTTCCAGCCGTCGAAGTGTAAAGGCCCCCTTCAAGGCTAGCGTTGCCGTGGCTGAGCTATGTTCGATATTCGTCCTGAATGTTTTGCCTGAACTTTCAGCTTGATGCGCGGTTGAATCAGTTGCGCCCTGGTACCACCGTTCCAGCTACCGCTGCCCGGAGACAGAAATACCAAGAGCTCTGATCATACCTGATGAGGCTGGCGCCGAAAGTCTCGAAATCGACAAGTTTCGTCTGAGGCGATTTTGCCTCAAATGACTGATTTTATCCCGCTGCGCAAGGCTCCCCCTGGATAGGGTTTTCCTCGTAGATTTCAGCGACAAGCTTGCGCCGATTCTCTCCCTCTAATATGAGAGACATGGGAAAATCACCGTGACCGGGAGCGTTCGGCACACAGACCGAGACAGGGTCTGAGGAAGCACAGCGGGAGATATTTCTTGCGCATCCAGCCACAAGATGTCCGAAATAGGGGCTTCCGGCCTCAAGCGGTCGAGTCCGAGCACCCATGGAGAGTCCCACGAGGAAACCACAAGCCGGCGCGCCGAGCTCAAGTAGAATAGGACCTTACACAAAACGACAACAACTTGTGAGGCGGTAATTTTGTCCGGCAATGCGAGGCTGCCCTCCAGCCCCGCTATCCCAAGTTTGGTCCGGCAGGCTCCTGGCCTTTTGACCAAATTAGATCTTAAGAAACTGTCCGTCTTCCTCAGAGTTGAATTAATCAGAGGAACTTTGTGGCATTCCCTCGACCGGTTGATCATGCCGCCAAGTGCCGAAAGCACATGATCGTCCTGACTGGTGGAATTTCTTCGCCGTGCATGTTCTTCTCGCAGGGCCAGTTGGTCACCGCGATTTTCCTCTTCTTCCAGTTGTCTGTATTTCATAAAGATGCCCTTGCGAAAGGCTCAAGATTTTTTATTCTGGTTTCATGCGTACTTTGTGGTCCCTTGATAGTAGCACTCAGTGTCAATCTCAGCGGCTGAGATCCTCCAGGAAGCTTCCTGCACGATTTGGAATACCAATGGCCCATGGATGAGTCTGAGGCGGCTCATACAACTCTTGCTGCGAGAAACGGCTGTTCAGAACACGCTTCGAAAGAAGATTATGTCGTTGCATGTATTTCATCTCGGCCGTGATCTCCTTTTGCATGTGGCTGGCCATCTGTCGACGAGCCGGATCGGTGAATAAGACGCTCGATAGTAATACGCTGCTCAGTAGGTTGACTCGGTCATCGGAACAGTCGCGTGCGTGGCTTTTCATTGACGTTTCCTTACAGCTGCACTTGTGTTTTAGGGAAATGCCAGTCATCAACTTCGCGTCAGGCATGGATCAGGCCCATGGTACGGTTGCAGCTCTTCAGAACAAGACCGTCCGAACCGGCCGGGTCGTTCTTATTCCAGAATCTACGTCATAGTTTCGGCCAAATTATATCCGCGGAGGACCCCGAACATATAAGTATACATTCATTAGAGCGTATTAGAATTCGTAAAAAGTAACCTTCTACAAAAAACCTATCAAATGTCGCTTAAATCTGGGCCACTTTCTATAGCGAAAGGAACTCCACATACAATCACATTACTTGTCACGCTGCCAACTCTCGCCAACTCCGCCATCTCCTGCCTCCCATGCTCCCAGTTGCGCTGAAAAGAACAACCTCCAGCGCAGAGGAGGTACGAGATTACACGCGTGCGCACGACGCGCTCGACGCGATTTGGATGGAAATTAATGTGATCCGTTGTGACCAGTGTGACCACGTTTGACAATTGCACAGATTTGAATCACTTCCCATAGAAAGTCGAGAACTTTCTACAGAAGCTTTTTTGTAGAAAGTGGTGGTTTCCACGAAATCTAATACGCTCTATTTCCCGATTATTATTATTAAAAAGTTTTTGAAAATTTACTACCTATTTCTTCGTCTGAAAAGCTGCAGCGTCTGTTTGTGTTAGCGTGAAAGTTGCTCCCTTGTGTCATTCAAAAGCTGGGATAGGTCGCAGGTGTCAGGTTCTTGCATTGTTCGGCCAATGTTCTCGGCTGTCAGGCTGCGCCGATACGGTTCCTGGCTGCTGCGACTAGGTTCTTGACTACTGCGGCCAGAATCTTGACTGCTGCGATCATTTACACACACGGCTGCATTACGGTCCAAACCATCATTGGGCAGAGCTGTGCTTTTTAACAGGCACCGTCCAGTTACACTATCTCACTACCGCCGCTCCTATGGCGCCTCGACTTTTCCTCTCTGTTCTGAGCTTGGTTGCGTCTGCTCTCGCTGCCGGAGGGAGAAGTGATGATGAACCGATGTGGGTGTTCCTTTCCGTCTCTCTCTCTGGTCCTGATCGAAAACGCCTTGTCTAGTGGGGGATATGTGCCCAGTGTGAGTTTTTTTGGCTTTTTCATTTCGACGGTGCTAACGGCGAGCCTAGAAATCGCTCTCGCTCACCGGAGTCGTGCTCTATGGATTGTCTGCACTCGTGCTGTGGACCCAATTTGTCATTGTACGACCGAGACGCCCTTTCATGCTTACCTTGACTCTGGGAATGACTGGTACGTCAGACGTTCCCGAGATATTCCCAATTAACATGAGAAGCCATGACCGTCGGATTTATTCTCCGATACCTCTACGCTACACCGCCTTTCACGTTGGGCAAATACATTGCCTGGGATATGGTGCGCTCACATCTATTCTCTCCAATTATGTTTCTCAACGACATGTAGTTCATCTTGCTTTCGGTATGGGATATATCGAGCATCCGTCGTCTCGTCTGCTCACCAATGCTCTCCAGCCTTGTCTCTTCCTGGCCACGGACTACATGATCCTCTCCCGTCTCGCCGCCACATTCAGTCCCGATGTTGTCTCCCGGTGCTTGGCCATCCGCCCGACCCGCGTCGTCAGGATATTCGTTTGGAGCGACGTCCTCACCTTCTTTTTGCAAAGCTCAGGGGGAGGACTGACCGCGACTAAGAGTGCGAGCTCGGCCAAACTGGGGACTACCGTGCGTCGTTATCCAAGCAGCCAGACTTCGTGCTCTGACCCCCTCATTTGCGCAGATCGCCCTCATTGGATTGATCCTCCAGGCCGTCTCGTTCCTGCTTTTCACCTTCCTCATGCTCACCTTCGCCTTCCGGGTGTACGTCTGCTGGCGTTGTGTTTCTTTCTTTCGTCGCTGATTTCATTCAGATCGAAGCACTTCCCCCACATCTGGCAGGCTGAAAACGGCGAGCCCTTCAGGATTCTCTCCACCCGACCCGTCGGAGACTGGCGCATTCTCATCTACGTTATGAGCGCTACCTGCGTCGGGATATTGACGCGGTCTGTGTTTCGTATCGTCGAATTCGCCGGCGGGTGCGTACATTCCCGAATCGGATGGTTCTCACTGCATATTCACCACCCGCTTCTTTCTAGATATAACGGTTATGTGGCCACTCATGAATCGTTCTTCTACCTCTTCGATGCCCTCCCGCTGTGGCTTGCCATGTCACTGTACTGCTTTGTTTGGCCCACGCGGTTCCTTCACGGTCGCGCGGAGAATGTTGCGCTTGGTACGGACCTCAAGTCGCATGGACTCGTGAAAGTTTAGAACGGACTTTTTGTATACCCCAGTGCATATATTTAAGTAGATATAGTAGAATATTTATCTATAAGTATACTGAGAGTCTACCGGTGAAAATTCATGGGATTCGTCGATCCACGATTGAAAGATGTATCAGATTTGGGCTTCTTGACCAGACTTTGGGGCCCCATGCGCCGCCAAGTATATCTTGGGACTGCTGCAATCAACTGCTGCAATCAACTGCTGTAAAAACTCAACATGCAATGATCCGGACACAAAAATATACTGCCAAAGATGAGATCAACACGGTTGCAATTCGCTGATACTCGTAACTCGCCCGTGCAAAACAGACGGGAATTGCCAGCCGTCGAAGTGTGATGCCACCCCAAGGCTACTTGCGTTGCCGCGGCAGAGTTACGTTCGATTTGCGTCCTAAATGTTTTGGACCACAAACCGAGCTCCACGGCCGGTTCGGCACTTTGCATGAACCTTGAGCCTGACGCGCGGGTTCAGTCAGTTGCGGTCCGGTACCACCGTTCCAGCTGGTGCTGCCAGGAGGCAGAGATAACAAGAACTCGAATCATACCTGATAGGGCTGGCGCCGAAACTTTATCGAAATTGACAAGTTCTGTCTTGAGCGATTTCGCCTCAAAATGAGCGATTCTGTCCAACAGCGCGCTTGCCCCCCTGAATTTGGTCTTTCTTGTAATCTTTGTGCACTTCCGGTAGTTCTCCCCTTTCCAACGTCAAAAAATTCAAGTCGCAGTCACTAGGAGCTTCTCAGCTATCGGATTGAAAGACTGCGGCGGGAGATATACATGGCCGTATTGAGCAACAAAGTTCCGAAACAGGGGTATCCGGGCTAAACTAGGCGTGGGACTAAGCTAGCATGGCAGAGGCGATCGGATGAACTACTTTACGGGAGCAAGCATCAAACACGTCGTGTCTGGTGCAAGGCAAAGCAGGGGAAATTACGGCATGGCGTGCGGAAATCATTTCAACGCGAGACGATCTGAGAATGTCTTCGAACGTCCGATTTCGGGCACTTGCAGTGTAGATAGAATAGATTCTTCGATGTATGCGATCAATGCATAGCTGGAGAACAGGAAGATTGGCCTGAGTACGACGATAGTGGCGAGCCAAGCAAGGTGGCGCCCTAGCGCGGTCAGAAAACTTTGCCGATAGCAGTAAACGAGGTCATGCGGGCACTTCTCGAGTAGAAACCAACCTGGTAGAATCTTTCGGACATCCCACAAAAACTTACGAGGCCAGGCCGTAATGCCGGACGAAAGGACCGCTCTCCAGCCACCCGTAGTGCTAGGATTTAGACTAATGTCATGGCTGTAGCCATAAAAACCCTACACTATTTTATGAATGGTAGCCATAGCATGGCTACAGCCATGCATTCTAGTCTTCTCGCGTGATCACGCAATGTATCACGGGATGTCCATCAGCCGCCCAACGATCAGCCGCCCCACGCGCTCATCACTCATGTGTTCGCATCAAGCGGCATTCATCGCGGCAGATCACATTGATTCCACACGTCGGCCATCTAATCATCGCGGTGACTGTGGATGATCATCAACCATTGACCTCACCATATCGGGCACAATTCCCGTATCGTCGGTTTCCCGCGCTTGTCCCGCCTGCCTGTTATCGCCAACATCATCATATCTTATCTTATCGTACAATGTCCTTAGTGTACATATTTGGCTCGTTTGCTTCCCCGATGTTGCCTCGCCACCTGTTCAGCAAAAAGGTGCGTAACTTCGTGTGCTACACCGCCTGCTTCAATGTGAATGCCCGCGCACCTGCGTCTACCTCACGTGAAGAGCTCACCCGCCCCGACGACTTCGTCTTCCACCAATCAGCCTGCCATTCCAGATAAGCACACACCCGACGCATCTCCTCCTTCAGCAGCAAGACCTCCTTGGTCCACCTATCGCGACGCGCCAGCGCCCGACCCCATTCCACGTGTATTGCTGTGATGACGTCAGTTACGCCCTGTGCCTACTGCGTCGGGAACTCACAGTCATGCAGATCTTTCTCCTCGTTGTCCAAAGCTCCGGGCACGGTCCAGATCCATGATATCACCTGCTTCAACAATCCGTGGTCCTGCCTCGGCACGCGCCCTGCTCCGAGCGCCCCAATCTTCTTTGCTGTCCAAGCATCTGTCCTTTCTGTGTCCGTCTCCATAGCTGCACCACTCATCTGCAGGTGCTCATCCTTGAGCTCTTGCAGATGCTGGAACTTTTCCAAGCGGCCGGCCTCCACCAGAGCCTGCCGTCCCCTTTGATATTGGTTGGCGCTTGCTGTCACCTTCTCCCCGACTTCGCTAATCAGTGTCCGTGCCTTTGTTGACTGGTTCTGGCCAGTCACGTTCGCATTTCGGAAGCTGATCAGGTGCCTCTTTGCATGCAGACGTGCCCGAACCAGTGTGAGTGAGTTCTCGCACTGCGCCACCCGCAGCTTCGTCTCCATGTCACACAACCTGGCCACACAACCCCGCGCTGGACCCAACAATGAGGGCATCTCGCTCGGCATCCATAGCTTGATGTGCTCAGGCCGAGGGCTTGAAGCTGAACGGACGCGTCGGGCTTCAGCCTCCTCAATGATAGCGGCGGCTGCAGGCATGTTCACCGCCTGCAGTTCTCGGAAGCATGCCAGCTTCGTGAGAACCGTATGCCGCCACTCTTCGATTTGATTTGCATGCTCGCCTGCGACCCACACCGTCCCCTTTGGCTCACGGATGATTCTTGCCCTGCGCAACCCGATAAGTGTCTCATGCCTGGAATCACAGCTATGACGCACCTGTACACAATTCAGAATCCGTAGCGCACGTACCTGACATCTCAAGCATATACGGGCAAACGGCAGGGGGTATCAACGCGGGATGCATGGACCAGGGGCGGAGCGGGAACTGGAACTCATCACCTCTGATGACAACACACATTGGCGTGGATGTCGCCTGCGCGCGCGCGATGCTGAGCAGTGATCACGTGCAGTGCCGTAGATGGACGGCGGGACGGCGGGCAAGCCACCAGATCACGTGCAGCACTGTGGGCGGAGGGCGGGTGAGAGCGTCAAAGGTGTCGATGGTTACCAGGTGCACATCTGCGCGCGGAGTGATGGAGCATCAGGAGCGGGGCTGACAAAGGATCAGATGTGCAGCGTCGGTCCCGCCTGATCAAATGCACATGACGCCGGCGGAGGCAGCGCGCATCAACAGATTCTGTCGGAAGCGCGAGCACGGATTCATATCACATCGCAATAAGCGAGAGGCAGAGAGCGCTGTCTAGTGTAGCACTGAGACCCCAACTCTGCATCACGATCTGCGTTGCCTAGAACAGACCATGTCCTTTCTCGTGAACCCTACGCTGTCATCAGCACTGTTGATGGCTGCCATCACTGGTGGCGATGGGTGATTTGCAATCGACTGACGTTGATGGGTGCCGAAGTGAAGATGCCGGGGGTTGAGCGTATTGCACGCAGCCATAGACCCCACGGTGGTTATTTAGGTGCCTAGCCATAGCCCATGGCTACCATTCATAAAATAGTGTAGGGTTTTTATGGCTACAACCATGCGTATTAGTCTAAATCCTAGTGCTATGGCTCCTCCAGCCCCGTTTTGTCCGGCAGACCACTGCCCTTTCGACCTAGATCCGGGCAAAATGGTCCGACCCCCGGCTGTAGCCTTATCAGCGATCATCAGAGGTTTCGTGGGATTGTATAGACCGGTTGACGCCGCGGCCAAGCACAGAAGGTACATGACTGGTGGGATTTTCCCCCGTGAATATTCCTCTCAGAAGGCCAATAGGTCAACACAACTTTGCCTCATTGCGATCCTCTGTCTACCACAGGCAGGCCCTTGTGCAAATCTAACGAACGAGGAATCTAGCTAGTTCCATGCGTACTTTGCGTCGTCCGTTCGTACTGGGAGTCAATTCAAGTGGCTACGATTCTCTGGAAAGCTTCCTTCAGGATGCGGACCACCAATTATCCATGACGTTAGCCTCCAGGGGGGTGCATGCAGCTTTCTACGATGCCCCATCTCGGTGTTGATCTCCTGTTACATGTGGTTGTTCATGTGTCACCGACCCGAATCGGTGGTCAGGACAGCGGATATTAAGGATTCAGTAAGCTGTCTCGGCCATGTACAGCATCCCATGCGTGATTTTTCTCCGACTTTCCCCAAACATTTCCTCGCAACTACGCTTCCGTTCTAGGAAAATGGTCATCGATCTCGCGTCAGCCCCATGTTACGAGACAGCTCTTAGGAGGAGACTCGGACGGACGTCTCTACCCCAAAATTTGCGTCATATTGCTAGCCAAATTATATACATACACAGAGAACGCAGAAAGAAAATATTTCCGAATTTGTTTTTCGCAATTTGTGAATTCCTGCTTGTCCGTCTGAGAAGTCGTAGCCTCTGTGCGAAAGCATGTATATGCTTCTCTTGTGTCACTCAAAATTTGTGATAGGTCGGCGGCGTCAGGTCCTTGCAACGTTCTGGCAAAGTTCTCGGCTGACTGGCTGCGGCAACACGTTCCTGGCTGCTGCGACCAGGTTCTCGATTGCTGCGACCAGAATCTTGACTGCTGCGATCATTTCTCCACACGGCTTCATTCCAATACAAACCGGCATTCAGCAGAGCTGCGCTTTTTAACAAGCACGCTGTCCAGTCATCCGATCCCCCACCACCCCTCCCATGACGCTTCCACTTTTCCTCTCCGTGCTGTCTTTCGCTGCGTCTGCCCTGGCCGCTGGGAGCAGTGATGACACCCCGATGTGAGCGCTCCTCTGTCTTTCTCTTTGACGCTGGTCTCAAGCGCTCTATTTAGCGGAGGATATGTGCCTAGTGTGAGTCATTTTGCGAATTTTGTCTTGTCCTGTTCTGATGGGGGGCCTAGAAATCGCTCTCGATCACTGGAGTCGTGTTATACGGAGTGTCAGCACTCGTGCTGTGGACCCAATTCGCCCTTGTACGACCGAGACGCCCTTTCATGCTTACCTTGACTCTTGGAATGACTGGTACGTGGGATGTCGTCCCCGAGATAGTCCCACATAACATGAGCAGCCATGACCGTCGGATTCATCCTCAGATACCTCTACGCTACCCCGCCTTTTACGTTGGGCAAGTACATCGCCTGGGACCTGGTGCGCACTCGACTGTTTTTTTCGATTTCATTTGTTAACGATATGCAGTTCATCCTGCTTTCGGTATGCCACATATTTGCCCTCCTTTCTTTAGTTTGCTCACTGGCATCTACTAGCCTTGCCTTTTCTTGGCCACAGACTACATGATTCTCTCCCGTCTCGCCGCCACGTTCAACCCCGATGTCGTCTCCCGGTGCTTGGTCATTCGCCCGACCCGCGTCGTCAGGATATTCGTCTGGAGCGACGCCCTCACCTTCTTCTTGCAAAGCTCGGGAGGAGGACTGACCGCCGCCAAGAGTGCGAGCTCCGCCAAGCTGGGAACTACGGTGCGGGACTCCTCGGCCATACAGAATTCGTGCGCTGAACTTGTCGGTCGTTCCAGATTGCCTTGATTGGGTTAATCCTCCAGGCCGTCTCGTTCCTGCTGTTCACGTTCCTCATGCTCACCTTTGCCTTCCGAGTGTGCGTCAGTCGTCGTGTTTCTTTCTTTCGTAGCTGACTTTACCCAGATCGAAACACTTCCCCCACGTCTGGCACGCTGAAAACGGCGAGCCTTTAAGGATTTTCTCTACTCGACCCATTGGAGACTGGCGGATTCTCATCTTCATGATGAGCGCTACCTGCGTTGGGATCTTGACGCGGTCCGTGTTCCGTATCGTCGAATATGCTGGCGGGTGCGTGTATTCCAGATTCGGAGGGCTCTGACTGAACGCTCACCACGCGCTTCTTTGTAGGTACAACGGATATGTGGCCACCCACGAATCGTTCTTCTACATCTTCGATGCCCTCCCGCTCTGGCTTTCCATGTCGCTCTACTGCTTTGTTTGGCCCACGCGGTTCCTTCATGGACGCGAGGCGAGGGATGTGCCGCTTGGCACAGACCCCAGTCGCACGAGCTCATCTAAGCCCGGAGTGGGATTTGAGTATTCCAGAGTTAATGTTTAGGGACAATGATCGGCACACCCAGTGTAGAATCTCGATGTACGTAGAAATCGGGCTTGTTGGCACACCACCAACTCTTGCGTCAGAGATATCATTTTGCGGCCAGAAGCTCGCGTACTTTTCATATCCTAAGCTCTCTGTCTACTCATCGCTCCTAAATACTCCGTCTCAGAATGCAGTCCTCATGCATTGTGCTGAGGCCGGTATTACTTTCATGGCACCAAGGCATTTGGTCTTCTGGTGCTATCTCAAGGTCTATCAGCTCATATAGCCGCAATCCGCCCCCTCCGACTGAGGCCGAGCGATCTGACATTCCGTGGGACCACTGGATCTATTATGAGGCCATTTGTACGAGTGTTCGATCCCTTTGACTCGAGATATCACACCAGTATCATTATAAATTTCGTCAGTTTGATCATCGTCATAAGTGTCGACGCAATAATCGGAATCAGCAGCAGGTGACGCGGTCAACTTCTAGCGTCTGCATTAGGCAATTCCCGAATGATCGAGGCACCGTCGAATCAAATGAAAATTCTTCACAACTCCATAGTCAGATGTTCGAACATTCGGTCTCGGATGAATCGAATAAGTGTCCTAGAATCTATCAGTGCTTCCAACACCGACTTCTGCTCAACGATACCGAAATTTATGATCGTAACAAAGGGCAGTAAGGTTAGGGTCAAACCACTTGACCGCGCACACTTCTCATTTAAGCGCAGCCCATGCCAACGCAACACGTCATTTTCCAGAAAAGACAATGCGCCTAGGAATGCCAGGCCTTGCTTTTGGGGCCTGAGGGTAAAAGATGGGCCCGGACTACTGGTCGACAGAATGCTTTGTCGCGAAGGTCTATGCGCAGTGCTGATCAGAACTCGATGGCCCGTGTAACTCTTTGAATCTTCTCTATATTTGCTCTGGTACGCGCCTGTAGGAGGGACTTGGCGCGGGTCGCACGTGACGCTTTGCTGCGCCGTGGCCGCAGGCAAGCCTCTGGAACCCCCACAAGGCATTAGGCGTCGGCTGGCTCTTACTCGTCCGAATCCGTGCGCCTCGACACGAAGACTGCTGGCGCTTAGCGCGCTTAGCATTGTTTCGCCGTCTTGGAAGAAGCACGACAATGCAAAGATGGCCTGCACTTGGTCATATGCATCTGATGCGCTTTGGCGATGGGTTTCTGTACAGGTATTTCATGCGGCCCGTCTTCAGCTCAACCCCCGGTCTCGGTGTTTCTTCCCTTCCCACCACTCCAGCCCTTATCACGAATACCAACTCGTCGAGATCGTTGACCATGACGTGCAGTCTTAGTGCAAGTGTTGAGGATGGCGGGGCCACGAAGTGGACGACGATGGTCGATGGGGATAGCTCGGACGATACGGCGCACTGCATCGTCTGCCACCGTCTGTACGTATCGCTCCCAGCTCGTTCATCCGGCTCTCCACACTTATTCTCGTTGCAAGCTTCGCATCCACGGAACAACGAAACGAGCACCTCGGTGACGACATCTGCCAATGGACTGCGCGGTTTCGCAAGCTCCCCTTCCCGGAAAGCCCTGAGGCGGTCGACAAGCTCAGAGCGGAGAACGCCACCGAGCGACTGGCTCATCTGAAGGAGTCGGACGAGCGATTCATCAACATGGGGATCCTATACTACGCTCAGCAACAGGGACTCGCGATTCCTACAATCCATCTCGGTCTCAGACGATCACCCGCCCCTCCATCTGGATCCGGCACTCCCACCCCCCTCGCTTCGAGCACCGAGTGGCGGTATCTCTCCGCCCCCGGAAACCCAGATCTGGATGAACTGTTGCGCAGTATGAACCCGGGCCTGGAGTTGAAGCAGCAGGCGCTGGATTGTCTGGCGGATTACTACAGCACCCCCACGGACAAGACTTGCGATGTCTGGGAGATTCCGCAGGAGGTGGAGAGTCCTGAGGTGCGCGCGATCCTGCGCGAGTGGACCCACATGTCATTTGAGGAGTGGGCTACTTCGTTAGCGTCAATCAATTAGGCGGCAAATGAAAGCCACCACTGAATTTGGTTCAGCAACATGAGAGAGAGATCACTCGAACGTAGCCCTGTTTATGATCATTGTACAAAAGTTTAGAATGTAAATACCGAAATTCCTCTTATTCACAGTCTCAAGAAAGCACGAAGACAGCTGCTACATCAGCCCTATTGGACGGACTTCAGAACAGTCGAACTTCAGTCATCGTGAAACTTAGGCACACGTGACCCAGTTTGTTTGATTGCCAGGCTGTATCATGACTTCCAATGGACCGGTGTCGCCATGTATATAATTGATAGAAGCTATCAAGGAGACGACTGCTGACCCAAAAACAAGCCACTATCCATCCAACCGGTACATCTCCGATCATACCAACTTGGAGTACTTCTTTGCCCATTCTTCTGGACATGGCAATGACCCAGCCGGAGATGCAGTGTAGAATTCGCGAAGAGCGGGGTCCATGGGCAGAGATTTTCTTGCAGAATACGAAGCGAAATGGGACGGGGGGAGGTCAAGCGTTCCGTAGTTGGGATCCCGCATGTGCCGAACACCTCAGTTACCACCGCCATCACCCGGTTGCACCCCCGCGGGGGTCCTCCTGGGTACCCTCAGACGTAGCTCTGAGGGTACCTAACAGGTACCCCCCTGCGGGGCCCGCGGGGGGGATTTGGTCCATTTGGGGGCGGGGGCATATGCGGGGGTCAGCAGGGGGGGGTCTGTACATGTCATGTGATTTATCATTGGGAGCGGGCAGGTGGGCGCGAAAAAAAAATGAATCACATGACACATCCAATGGGCGGGATGGCGGCTGATGGCGGGGTAAAAAAAATCACGTGATGCACCGCATGAAAATTATCAAAAATGGCTAGCAGGGGTTGGCGGGGGTTGGCGGGGGCGCTACTGGCCCCCCGCACACCATGGCGGGCAGTGGGCGCATTATCACGTGACTTTTGGGGCACCTTTTGTGCACCATTCGGCATGATTTCGGAGGTGTTGCTTGATCCATTGCATGCTGTGGCAGACAATGGGCGCATAATCACGTGATTTTCCGCCCAAAAAAATGGAAGCCTTCCCCAAATCATCCTGGTATCATTTCTATCGGTAAATACACTAGTTAAGCATGAATTTGAGCTTAGAAAGCCCAAAATGCACCCTGCACAATGGGACTGGTGATGCACTTGATCCCATCATTTGGCGGGGTCTGCTGCGGGGGGTGCCACGGGGGGTGCTGCGGGGGGTGCTGCGGGGGGTGCCACAAGGGGTGCCGCAGGGGGTGCCGCAGGGCCCGCTGTGGGGTCAACCACAGGAGCAGGGGTAGGGGTGCATTGCATCATATTTTGATCTATCTATTCTCGCTGTGGTCATAGCATGCAGCATAATTATCCTTCATTTTGCCAGGAGTTTGGAGGCTGTGTCTGGGGTTGGTCTGCAGCTACAGCCATGTGACTCCCTGATGCTTCGGCAGGGGCTGGGATATCAAAACTGTGCAAATTTACCTAAATCTTTTGGCTTGGCTTGGGGCACTGATATATATGACTTGGTTCATTTTAGCATGGTCTGCTCAAGCTGTCAGGTCAAACTAAAAATTTGAAAAATGTGCAACTTGATTTGTTAGGCAAATCTCCCAAGTACATGCTCCAGGGACAGCCAACATCATCAACAAGAAATGGCTAATGTTTCTTTTCTCTGTCTGTTTGCTTCAGGTAGTCTGTCTGCACTCAAATTTTTCTCTCCATTTGCAGCATATTCCGTGGAGGTGTCATAATTGTTGATTTCCAGATTTCATACTTCTTGTCTACACACCATTTGGGCCCTTTACTGAATCCAATAATACTGTAGACTCTTACAATGGATTGAGCAGGACATTTGTCAATTAAATCCTTGCAGGGGTTGGGGGGGGGGGGTCAACCACAGGGGGTGCCGCGGGGGTGCCACGGGGGGTGCCGTGGGGGTGCACAAGCATCTGCCAGCCTACCAAATGTGGATCAACTACAAAATCACTTTCCAAAGCTTCTGTACTGCAACCCAAGTGACTTCTAGGTAACCTTTACCCAATCCCAGTGAAACAACTTCACTGCTCTTGTTTCTGGGTGACAATTGATTTTATGAGCTTGAGTGTGTATGCACCCTTTTTAGTGGGAAATGAGGCCATGTGATGAGAGGTAGGGCACCGAAACATTGTAAAATACTATATTCAACATGACCGGTGGCCCATGTCTCTTCAAACCAGCCCATATCTCATGTTTATCAAGACCCTATTTTTCGGACTCATTTCAAGTTTTTGAATAGTTCCAGGGTCCAGGGCTCTCAGAATTTGTTTCAGACACTGCCAAAGAGTATATCATTCAGCTGTATTGAATTGCTTGTGTGTAGAAAAAATATTTTTTGCCATACCCAAAGTGAACCATGTTGAACCATTGTCTACATAGGAACCTTGAGCAATGGTGAACTCTTTTCATGTTTCGAATTTTAGGTGGACAAATGATATGAAGTATCTACATATTCAATAAGAATAGCAGAAGGAGACCTTATTCCGATGGTTTTCAGCTGCATAACTGTAGGAACAGTGTTAGAAGAGCAGTAAACACTTAGGTACGACGTTTATACAGGTTCTGATTGGCTAGTGACTTGACGTGTTCCGAGCTGTCAGTTTACATAATCTTACATATAAGAAAATCACGGGGACAAGGCACCGGTGCAGCGGGGGGTGCTAGACTGGCGGGGGTGCCAGCGGGGGTGCCGGCGGGGGTGCCAACAGGGGTGCCGGCGGGGGTGCCAATGGGGGTACCAGCAGGGGTGCAGGCAGTGGGTCATGGCAAGGATGTGTGCAGCCCCAGAGGTAGTAAAAGTAACCATCTATGTCTCTACAGTCTATCTTGCAAATATACGAGCTCTGAGTGCACAGAGTGTTGTATATGAAATTTGAAATTCAAATATTACCAATCTCTGACTATTGTGAGGCAACTTGCTGGTGAATCCATTGTCTCATATTCCACCTAGGAATCAATTCAGGGCATGTCAAATCCACTCTATTACATCTGTTCATGTTGCAACTAAAGCAAACTGCTTGTAAAGTAACACAGAACAGATGAACTTCAATGAGTCCCAGACAGGAAGTGTGACATTAGGTGCATAATTAACGTGTGGTATTATCCACTGGGTAAGATTAGACTGTGCCTACAGCATGATCAGTTTACCAATGGGCATGTGTATAGAATGAGCAGACAAAACAATCAATGAGTTGACAGTGGACCCGATGCAGCCCATGATGTCAGCCCACCTACCCTGCCAGCCAAAAAATGAACAAATCACACTTTCTTTTTAACCCTACATGCCTGGATTATGCAGACAATATTGCACAGTTTTGATATCCCAGCCCCTGCCGAAGCATCAGGGAGTCACATGGCTGTAGCTGCAGACCAACCCCAGACACAGCCTCCAAACTCCTGGCAAAATGAAGGATAATTATGCTGCATGCTATGACCACAGCGAGAATAGATAGATCAAAATATGATGCAATGCACCCCTACCCCTGCTCCTGTGGTTGACCCCACAGCGGGCCCTGCGGCACCCCCTGCGGCACCCCTTGTGGCACCCCCCGCAGCACCCCCCGCAGCACCCCCCGTGGCACCCCCCGCAGCAGACCCCGCCAAATGATGGGATCAAGTGCATCACCAGTCCCATTGTGCAGGGTGCATTTTGGGCTTTCTAAGCTCAAATTCATGCTTAACTAGTGTATTTACCGATAGAAATGATACCAGGATGATTTGGGGAAGGCTTCCATTTTTTTGGGCGGAAAATCATGTGATTATGCGCCCATTGTCTGCCACAGCATGCAATGGATCAAGCAACACCTCCGAAATCATGCCGAATGGTGCACAAAAGGTGCCCCAAAAGTCACGTGATAATGCGCCCACTGCCCGCCATGGTGTGCGGGGGGCCAGTAGCGCCCCCGCCAACCCCCGCCAACCCCTGCTAGCCATTTTTGATAATTTTCATGCGGTGCATCACGTGATTTTTTTTACCCCGCCATCAGCCGCCATCCCGCCCATTGGATGTGTCATGTGATTCATTTTTTTTTCGCGCCCACCTGCCCGCTCCCAATGATAAATCACATGACATGTACAGACCCCCCCCTGCTGACCCCCGCATATGCCCCCGCCCCCAAATGGACCAAATCCCCCCCGCGGGCCCCGCAGGGGGGTACCTGTTAGGTACCCTCAGAGCTACGTCTGAGGGTACCCAGGAGGACCCCCGCGGGGGTGCAACCGGGTGATGGCGGTGGTAACTGAGGTGGTGCCGAAATGTATTCTTCAGCTTCCCACAAAGACCGGGGGCTTCGACCAGTTGGCCGAGCTGCCAAGGAGTGAGCTCAGCACAAATGGAGTCGAAACGCTCTAGCGCTTCGCCGATGGTGGGTCGCAGAGATGGCTCGGTCTGTGTCATGTCGTTGACGAGAGGAATCAGGAATCGAAACGACGAGTTTGTTTTCTGTGTGAGTTGGAAGCGACTTGGGGTCTTAGATTACGTGGCAATTTACCGAGCTGCCCGGCGGAAGCATGAACTTGCGCTTCAGTATATTTCCCAAGAAGTAGATGTCGGTTGGAAACGGGTTGCACACATCCTGTCCACGAAAATGTTCGGGTGGGCTTTTGTCTCCGCCAAGGATGACGGGCTCGGATGGTGTACCGTTTTGGGGGTCATAGCGCCGCGAGAGACCAAAGTCGATGACGAAGTAGCGAGGCCAGCAGGACGCCTTGGTCACTCTGACAGCTAGACCGTCGTAGGCGGGATTCATGAGATGCCACACAGGATGAAAGCCAAGGGGATATAGCTCCGAGGGATCAACGACGAAATTGAGATATCCGCAGTCTCTGGGCAAGGTGAAGGGGTTGAACCGCCACCGTGGATTTCACCTACCGATGTGCGACAAAATTGTCGTGCATGAATTGAATCCCCTGTGAAGTTTGAGCATCGAATCATCGTGCTCCCACGGTCTTACCTCTAAGATTTGCCGGAAGCAATGCATAACCTCCGCGACCCAGGTGAATTTCGGTCTGTCGTAACTCGTCATCATCTGCATTACAAGTATTTTCCTGCCGGCGTATTGAGGGTCCTGAAGCACATCCAGGATAGGAAGGCAATGATTACGAATCGCTGTGTCTCGAGGTGTCGGTGAGATCGAGAGGATTCTGCGCGAGGGCACGGAACTCGAGTCGAAGATTCCGGCGAGCGTTAGGTCGAAGTCTGCGAGGTGAGTCTGACGCAATGATGGACAGAAAAACCCCCTCGCGGTGGGCTCCAAAATGACACGCCTACGGTGCTCCTAGGCTCAGAACAAGGTGGGAGGGACAGCGTAGATACCGTCGATGAGCTTCTTGATCACCCGGGACGGTGGCCGTAGAGATAGCGGTGAATTCGAGGGGTTTTGGTTGGGCTGAGTCAGACTCGATGTGCAAAATCGCAGAGGAATAGCAGCGGCTTGGGATGAGAATAGGCGGCGACGGGAGTGAAACGACGACGTAGGGGGGGAATAAAATACAAATCTTTGGAGGTGAAGGCTCCTGAAGACTCTGTGAGAAGTGGGGTAAAATCAACCTGCATTTTATGGACGGTTACATGTGTATTTATACTGTAGGTAGATGAATAGAGTTCAATTTTGGTTAGCTAGAAGAAATAAAAGGAACATGAGACCTATAATATAACGGAATGTGAAACTGGGGAATCTGTATTCTGAGAGAAATCCTGGACCGGTCTCGTCCCTCTGGAACTGCCTGGGCCCTTCCAGGAATTCAGTCCTAGTCTGGGGACCATTTCTGTGGCGGTCTTGCATCGTAGCGCCGCGTTTGACGAGTGTTTGAAACCGGGATTGTGGATCGTTATGAGAGACCGAATATTGAGTATTGATGGGTGATGGGAGCATCGGCACGTGGAATGACGTGGTAAGCTGCATGAAGCACAGCTTATGATGGATGATGGGAGCATCGCCACTGATGCTGAACGGCACGTGGAATGACGTGGTAAGCTGCATGAAGCACAGCTTGTGATGTGACCGCTGTTATATCAATCAGCGCCGGTCTGGTTACACAGTCAAAGCGACCCCGGGCTCGTCATCTCCCTCCAACTTAAATCCTGACAGTCCCCTGTCAGTCCGTCGACGCCGTGTGAATATGAGGGGTTATTGCGGTGGTAAGTGACAGCTGGCTTGGGTGATGGCGCCGTCGGGCCAGGACTTTTCCCTCGGGGTCCCGTTTCGATGGCCAAGGCTTCTTCGCTCTTCTCTCCCGTTTCTTCTTCGTCTGACTCGTCCTCCGGGTCCTCCAGGATTGACTCCTCCATCTCTCTGAGCCGTTCCATCGATATATCGAGCAGGTCTTCAAGGGGGGGAAGCTCGATTGTCTTCCTTGCGAAGTATGGGATCACACGGAACGCTGCGATGGGTCGGTGAAAAACAGCGCCATCTAGCTCACAGAGGATGTAGGCGCCTCCTCTGTTCCTCGCGATGACGATTAATGGCCCCAGGTACCGTTTACGCATCTTGCGACTGAGTGACTTTTCGATTGCTGTGTTCCTCATCAAGACTAAATCCCCTCGCTGGAAATCATAGTCGCGGATGGTGTATGCGTGGTCTCGTTCGAACCGGATCGCCGCTTGTACTCTGGCCTCGAAGACCTCGGAATGGAGTAGGGCCAGCTGGTCTCGTCGTTTCTGCAGTGCGATGGCCCGCTGCGCAATGAGCTCGGTGGTGGAGAGGACTTTTTCGGGAGGGGGAAGCAGATAAGTGGCCTCCGAGATGTCGAGTGGTAGTAACGGGTGTGCGCCAGTGACCGCGAAGAACGGGGAACATCCCATGCGCCGCCGGACTGTGACACGGTCGGCCCAAAAGACGGAGTGCGCTACGGTGTGCCATTTCGACTGGTTTCCGCTTGCTGCCTTATACAAGGCTTCTCGTACATCGAAGTGCGGCCGCTCGGACAGGTTTGCTTGCGAGTTGTATCCCGATATCCGGATGTGTCGTATCTTGTATTGTTTTTCCAGGTGTGTAAGTGCTTTCACGAACGGGGTACCGTTATCTGTGACGATTTCTAGCAGGGTCCCCCATCTACACAAGATGTCTTGGAAGATCCAGTTCGCCAGGGCCGACGCGTTTTCTCGACGGAGCATCCTCCACTCTGGGTAGTGCATCAGCGAACATCGACCCTGGACAATGTACTTGAAACCGCCGCTCGTGGGGAGGTGCATCGTGTCCATATACATCTTGGCGAAGATGGGCGCTGGTACCGCAACCGTCGGAGGTATGTGTATCTTCCGTACTTGCCGCTGCTGACACAGGTCGCAGGTCCGGACAAACCACGCAATATCGTCAGCCATGTGAGGCCACCAGAACCGTTCGGTGAGTAGGGCTCGCGTCGCATAGAAACCTTTGTGACCAACATCGTCGTGTGCCGATTCCAGGACAGACCATCGCCGTTCTGGCTGCACCACCACCTTGTGACGCCCATGTGAGTCTTTTCTCCATAACACAGTGCCACGCCGAAAGAACTCCATGCAGTATCGGACAAACGATTGGTATTCCATTTCCGACATATTGCGGGGTTGCTCCAATGTGTCGTGCCAAATCCTGACTTGGTCCACCCGGTAGTCTGCTTGTAACGCTGTCGCCGATCTTGGTATCTCAGGCGACGCTTCACTTGCTTCTTCTTCGTCCAAGGTTCCGGCCATGAATACGGAGGAAGTCCACGGCACGTAGCAAGTAACGTATGGTGAGTGATTGATCATATGCGTGAATCCGTGCACCTGATCTATCCAATCTTCAAAGTCGTCATCCTCTTCTGCTTTGTCTTCGGGCTGTCTTGGTCGTCGAGATAATCCGTCCGGTTGATGGCTTACTCCTCGCACATGTACAAGGTCGAAGTGAAAGGTGAGTATCGCTAGAATCCATCTGTTCATCGCTGCTGTTGGTGCCAGGTCGGGGTTTGATAGCATCCCCTTGATCGAACTTGCATCGACTTCCACCACGAGGTTGCGCAGTCCTATCAGATGGATCCTCCAGGCACGAAGGGTGCGAAAGAGCCCGTAAAGCTCCAGTTTTGGTTGTGAGAACCGCGCTTCCCGTTCGTTCAAGGTGATTGACCCGAATCTTGCGTAGAATCGTCTCGTCAAGTTGCCCGGATCGCACTGGGCTAGAGTGGCCCCTACTGCGATGTAAGATGTATCCACGGAAAGGATGACGGGTGATGTGGACGTATAGTCAAGTGGGCGAAGCGCCGGTGAGCTCAGTAGTGCCTGTTTCAAGTCTTCTTGGGCGCTGACTTGCTCTGGTCCGCAGGTGAACGGGACACCTTTCCGTGTGAGACCGATCAGGGGACTGGCGCGTTGGGCAAAGTTTCGGATGAACATGCGCACTACGCCAATGGTTCCTAGAAAGGCGCGTACTTCCGACAGGTTCTGACATAGACCCCAGTTAACGATCTTTTCCACGCGCTTCTCGTCAGGGATTCGTCCTTCATATGTGCACATGTGACCAAGGACAGGGAATCTTGATGCGCAGAGTATGGCCTTGGGTCCTGAAAAGGTGCCGCCGCAGTACTTCATCCTTTGTACAATGCGATTGAGCGTCTGAAAATGTTCCCAGACAAACCGGCGGATCCCATTGTTCTCCGGAATGGTCTCATACCCTCCTCCGGCCAGCTCGTAACGCGTCTTCGGTCCTCGGACTGGCGCATCGTCAATGTACGGTATCGTGAACTGGGGGATCTCGGGCTGCAAGATGAAGGTGACGTCGTCGTGAAAGATTGGTACCGAGTTTGACCAGCCCATTGGCAGGGTAACCAGTTGAAGGGCGCCAAATGGGGACTGGAAGGTGGTGTAATCCCGGGAGGCCTCGGCGAGAACTCTCTCATCATACCCCACGTAGAGGTCTAACATTCCTCCACAGGATCGTCCAGCGAAATGCTCCGCTACTTGCTCGGTGAAAGGTGGCACTCCCGAGTGCTGGATCGTGACCGCGTTTAGTGGTTCCAGGCTGTGCACCAAACGTAGGCTCGTTCCGTCTTTCTTCACCACGCAAAACCATCGAGAACGGTATGCTGAATTTGACGGTTCGTAGACACCTGCTGCAAGCTTACGACGTATAAGCTCGCAAACTTTGTCACGAATTCCCGGTGGAATAGGGATGTTTCGTTGCACCCATGGTACGTGTGGGATTACGGGGATGGTGACCGGTTTGAAGAAGTCGGTTCTAAACTTCCCTCTTTCTAGGTCAGTCCATGCGAAGCCGTCCTCGTGAAGCATCATGAAGTGGTGCATGAGCTGCCGTTCTTCTGGCCATAGGAAATCTTCCTCGTGAAGCTTGTCGATTATGTCGCGTCTTTCGGTGGTGTATCGTCCAGATGGGGTAAAAGGCGGGGGATTCGGATCAAGACGTGGTAGTGTAGCCAATGGGTCTCCGTGGATCTCGCGTATAAGCCGGAATTCCTTGGGTAGGGTACCGAGAACTGGTCGTATTTTTCGTGAAACCGGTTTGTATAGTTTCTTGGCGAGGACGTCAACACGCGGAGAATAAGGGTTTGAGAGAGATGTTGATTGGACGTAGACTGGTACTGTAGAATTGTATCGAGGGGAAAAAAGGTAGTTTTCAAAACCAAAGGGGCGAGTTGAATCGCCCCTATCTTGCGCAACAAACGCCGGTTGAACGACTGCATGTGCGAACTGAACTGTATCAGAATACGAGCCCAGGTTTGTGCAACCTGTCAAATAGAAATATTGGAGTTCAGCGTTTGAATAGGACGAGGGGAGCGAGGCATAGGAATAAATAGAGAATTTGTTACGGTCGTTTGGCTCTGACTCGATGAGCAATGCAACCTCTCCTTGATCAGAAATCAATTCCTCGAGGGTTGAAAACCCTGCGCTCTTGGACGCGATCCCCGAGCTACAGTGGGGACTGTGGCAATTTTGCCCGAATTGGGATCACGGATTGTGATCGTCTGATTCTCGTTTGCGAAGTTATGGATTATGCTCTCTGTGAGAACATCGAAGGGTCTTCCCAGAAGCACGTCGTATGGTGGGTTCCGGACGACGTGGACCTGTAGGTACAAGGTTATGTTGTCGAAAGCGAAGGGAACGTTTCGGGCTAGACCCAAGGACGGTGTCACTGATCCATTTGCTGATTGCATCTGCAGAACGATGGTGGGATCATAGGAGAGACCAATTTCGTGACAAATCGCTTCCGACATAGCGATAATTTGAGAGCCTCCATCAACAATGCACTCCACCCGGAGACGGCTGTCTATTACGGGGAGGACGGAACGGATGGCTGATGACTCCATGGAGACCAATAAATCATTTCCTTGAGCGCTGCTGTTGATCAGGGTTTCGAAATGATCGGGGATAACAGTGGCGTTGGCCGGTAACGTCGCCTGACCAAAGGATGTGGGCATCGAATCGAAAAACGCTTCCCGCCGTCTATCGCCATCTCGCTGCTCTTCTATCGTCTCGATATACGCCTCCTGGGGCGCCAGGTCAAACGAAAACTGCTCTGTGGGCTTGCTGGCGGCTACTGGCGACTTTTCGGTCCCTGGGACGACTCGACGGCTACTGGTGACGTCCCTGGTCATGGTGCGGAGCTCTGGGGATAGCGAAAGGAGTTCCCGCTCGCTGACTTCGATTTTCGACTCCAAGAGACGTCCAAACACGGTGTTGGCGATTTTATCGTCGAAAATAGGTGCTGTGGTTCGATAGGCGCCCTCGGCTTTCTTTGGTGGAGCAGGGATGCGTGCCCCCACGTTCCGGTCGCGTGGTGGGGCGTACCCCGCGTCTTTGGCTTTTGAAAATGGGTGTTCCGCTGCGGGATGCACTGGTGGGTCCTTCTGGCGCGTTGCTGCGGGTCCCGGTGCGTTTTTATCGATTCCCGGGGCGCTCGTTGCTGACAAATTCGGGCGGACGGTCTGTTCGGGCTCCTCGACTGGTTCGGACAAACGCCCCGCACCTAGGGCTGCGCGCGCTTGTGCCCTGGTACGTACGGCCATCATTTCGCGTTCGAGGTACTGAAGGCGTTCTGTATCTGATAGCGTGAAGCTCGACGCGATTTTCGGTCCGGAATTGGAGCTGAGGAAATGCGTGGAGATTTCAGCTGTATTCTGCGACGCCGCCATTTGTCCTGGGTTCTGGCGATGCCATTCTTCGATCCGTGCACGCAGATTGGTGCCCTGTCGCAGACAATACCGCGCAGTGGAGATACGACCAGTAGCGATCACCTATAGAGACAGAGTCTCAGCGAGTGTAGAAGACACAGAGCTAACATTAGCAGTACCTATAGAGACAGAGTCTAGGTACAAGTCATGAGTATGAGTCGTAAGAGATCATAAGAGAGTATGCATACCTCAGCGAGTGTAGAAGACACAGAGCTGAGGATATGGAGCGTATAGTACTAGGTTTATATACCAGTCTGGAGCAGATATCATGATGTCATAGTGGAGTAGTGATATCATAGATGAGTAATGGATGACGCAATAATGAGGTCAGGTATGAGGTCATTGTGGAGCGAGCCAAAGTAATCTAAAGATACTACATATGATGTCATGTCTACATACTGTGATAGTCGCTAATACAAACAAGCTTCAACACTCCCACTCGACTAAACAGTCGGATCACGAAGACCCAAAGACAGCCGATGTTGTTGGAACTTCACCCATGCCAAAGACTTTGTGAGCGTGTCGGAGATCATCGCATCAGTCGGCACATGGTAAAGTTGGACATTGCCAGCTTCGACGGATTCTCGTACGAAGTGATAGCGGATGTCGATGTGCTTCGTCCTCCTATCATGAACTGGATTTACTGCCATGAAGATAGCGCCTTGGTTATCAACACAAAGAGGCGTGGATGGCAAGTCATATCCGAGCTCAGTCAACAAAGTGCGGATCCAGGCAATCTGGCGTGTAGCATCGCTCAGAGCCATGTATTCGGCCTCTGTTGAGGACAAAGCGACCGTGGGCTGGCGTCTAGAAACCCAGGTCACTGCACAACCGGCGATGAAGAAGGAATATCCCGTGGTTGAATGCCTGTCGTCTTTGTTCTCCGCCCAATCAGCATCGGAATAACCGATAAGGCCTGCGCCAGTGGAACCATCATAGCAAAGTTGGTAGTTTTTGGTGCCCTGAAGGTACCGGAGTATGTATTTTGCCATGTTCCAATGATGTTCTGACGGGTTGCTGTTGAACTTTGATAGACGGATGACTGCATAGGCAATGTCGGGGCGAGTACCAAGCATGGCGTATAGAAGACTGCCAATCAGTTGCTGGTATCGGGTACGACGGTCTTCATCAACTTCTCCATCATGCTTCTCGAGCACGATGCCGGAAGGCAGGGGAGTACGAGCTTCTTTACACGAAGACATCCGGAAACGTTCTAGAACTCCTTCGATATAGGAAGTCTGATCGATCCAGATTTTACGCGCTTTGCGATCACGAACTATGTTCAGACCAAGGAAATCCTTCGCAGGACCAAGATCTGTCATTTTGAAGCGGTTCGCGAGCATTGATTTGATCCGCGCTATCTCCGGCAGATTGTTGCCCATAATGAGCATATCGTCAACATACAGCACCAAGATGATGACCGTATCTCCCATTTGTTGGCGATATGTGTAGACACCGGCGTCGGAGTATGTCCGAGCAAAACCAAGTTCGAGGAGGGCATTGTGGATTTTGATATTCCACTGACGAGACGCCTGTTTCAACCCATAGAGTGATTTACGAAGGCGTGCCACCTTTTCTTTTGGCCATGACGAGAAACCTTTGGGTAATTCCGGAAGTTCCATATAGATTTCTTCCTCCAGATCCCCATTTAGGAATGCCGTTTTGACATCCATGGCATGAATCTCCCAATCTTCGAGAGCAGCCAGAGCCATAAGTATGCGCAAAGATTCGTAGCGCAATACTGGCGAGAAGGTCTCATCATAGTCAAACCCATGAACCTGAGTGAATCCCTTGGCAACAAGTCGTGCTTTGAAACGACCGTCACGCTTCCTGCTAAACACCCATCTGCATTTGACAGTCTTTCGACCGCGTGGAAGGCTGGTCAAATCCCAAGTACAGTTTTCCTCGAGAGAGTCCAGTTCTTCGCGCATCGCGCGCTCCCACTTGAGTGCATCCGGGCTCTTTGCTACGTCCCGTACGTTTTGAGGCAAGTCATGCTCAGCTTGGGCAGCTGATAACATGGACTCAATGCTGCTAGGCCTCTGATACGTAGTTCCATCTGGCATAATGCGGGGCTTATTCCGACGAGGGCGGCGATGGGCAATCGGGCGATCGTCTATCGGGCCAGGCATTAGGGGTACTTCTCGCGATCCCGTGACAGGACCTTGTTGCGCGAGGGGTGCCGGTGGCGGTGGGAGAGCAGGAGGTGGTATGCTTGCATAAGGCGTTGCAGGCGCAGGATTATTGATAAGGTCAGGGAAGGTTTCCTCGAATGGTGTGAACGGCTCCGGTCCAGAGGACACATTGCCGGTGACTAGCTTGGACTTGGCAGGGAATACTCGCTCATCGAACTCGACGTTTGAAGAGATTCGTATCTTGCGTTGATTCGGATCCCACACTTTCCAAGCTTTTGTCTCTCGTTCGTATCCAACGAAGATGTGGTCGGGGCGTCCATGCTCCAACCCTTTCGGGCGTTTTTCAACATCCACATAGAGAGACGCCTTGCATCCAAACACACGGAAATAAGAGACGTCTGGCTTCTTTCCAAGCCACAGTTCCGCAGGTGTTCGCCATCCCAATCGTGCCATAGGTTGTCTATTATGAACGTGGACAGATGCATCCATAGCACATTGCCAGAAGCCTTTGGATAGGCCGGCATCGAGGCGCATGCATTCCGCTTTCTCGTAGGCTGTGCGATTCCAACGTTCAGACCTCCCATTTTGCTGTGGTTCGCGTGGCGCGGACTTAGGGTGCATAATACCACGTGCATTGAGCCAGGCTGTGAGTTCATCGGACATATATTCACCTCCACGATCTGACCGGAAGGCCAGTACTTTTGTGCCGAGCTGACGCTCTACAAGGGCAACAAAGTTTTTAATCGCGGTAGAGGCTTGGTCCTTTGATTTAATGAACACCATCATGCCAAAGCTCGAGAAATCGTCGTAGAACGAAATTGTGTAGCGTGAACCTTCCAACGACTGAGTAGGCCAGGGGCCCATCAAATCAGTGTGGATAAGTTCGAGGGGTTTGCTAGCACGTTTCTCTGATGCAGGGTACGGATGCTTGTGCTGTTTTCCAAGCATACATCCATCGCACATGCCGCGCTGGTCTTTATTGCGTCGCAAGGGGGGAACACCTTCAACTTGTGTCGGCAAGTGAGTAAGGGTCCTCCGAGCCGCATGACCAAAACGCTTATGCCACAATTCACGATCGGTAGTTTCCAGGGAAGCAAGCGCGGTAGACTCGTGAGATGCAGACACAGATGGTGCCACGAGCTCCTCGGGGTAGTACCAGTAGCAGCGATTGCTTGCTTTAAAGGTCATCAAGACATCCCCATGCGCTTTTCCCTTGTTGAGCCAATCCTTGGTGACTAGGATTGCCTTGTTGTCACCAACCACGGTGTAGTAACCAGCCTGATCGAGCGCATACCCAGAAAGATAGCGCCCTCTTATGTGCGGGTTGTAGATGACATCCTTCAGAGTGAAGGTGTAGTCCATGCCACTACTAGTATGACCCCGCAACACAATATCTCCAATGGCTTCATTCTTGAAGCGAGCTCCCGACCCAACGACTACATAGGTGTCGATAGGTCTGATGTTGTGAAGATCGGATCGGGTGTTTGTCATATGATGTGTGCAACCCGAATCCCATAGAAAACGAACTTTGGAGTCGTCTCCCATTTCTTCAACAAAAATTCCATCATCGTTGTGTTGGAGGGAGTCACTCATGAAATAGGACGAGAAGTGCATTCCATTAGAAGAAGAAGCTGCAACCGCGGGAGCGGCTACAACCTCTTTGTTGTTTACAGTGCTGGTACCATCACCACTATTCTTCTTCTCCTTCTTCTTTTTCTTCTTCCCCTCATCCTGCTTCCCCTTGCCTTTGTCAGAAGATTGACCAGTAGGCTTGAGGTTGGGATACTTCTTGTAGCAGGATGCCGCAACGTGACCGGACTTGTTACAATGAGTGCAGCGGGTGGCGAGGGACGGAACGGTGGAAATCTTCGAGTTCGACGTCGTGTCGAGGTTCTCGATCTTGATATTCCCAATGACGCTGTTCTTGACATCGACCGGGTTCAAGGAAGCGATAGGACGATTGGCCAGATAAGAGGTGACAAAACCTCTGCTGGAAGCGGGTAAGGCGGCGAGCATGAGAGTCGCGAAGAGGTAGTCGGGGATCTCGATTCCTCCTTCCGAACACTGGCGACGACGAGTCTCCATTTCCATGATTTGCTTCTCAATGGTGTCACCACCATGGAAGGTGGTGGTGTTCAGGAGGCGGTACTCGACGAAAGCATCGATGGCATTTGGCTGGCCATAATCCGTCGCCATTTTCGCCCAAACTTTGCGCGCAGTGCGCTCCCGCTGACCGTCCATAAAGATTCCCTTGCGCAGATTCTGGGTAATATAAACCCGCGCAAGACCCAGTGCCTTTTCATTGGCAACGTCCCATTGATTTTGGGAGTCCCCAGCAGTTGAAGGACGTTCGACTGCACCGATGTTTGCAGCTGGTGTACCGTTAACCGTGATATAAGAGGGTTTCACAACCCCCCAAGTGCCCTGGTGCATGCATATGCTCATATAGTTGTCCGACCAAGTGTTCCAGTTTGTGCCGTCAAAGACGCTCAGGATGGAATTGTTGAGCTTTTCTATCCCGGACATTGTGGGAAGAAATTCGATGACGTCGGCGATGTGATGGTGGAGAAGAGTGGGTTCGACGTATGGAGGATCTCCAAACAGAAGACGAAGCGCGACGGTGAAATTTCCTTGCGCCTGATCGCTGTTCTGATTGTCGATATCACCAACCCGATAGATGTCACCGGTGATGGATTCGATGGGAAGATAGGAGTGTCCGAAAGTCGTCCAAGAGTTAACAGGGTATAGGATAACCCCAACAGGAGGATCGTTCGGTGATGACAGGGTGATAGAGATGAAGACTAGAGCGACGAAGTCAGCCCCAGATTCTCTGCAGACCAAGAAACAAAATCCCAAGTGCCAAGTCTCTGAAACGAGAACGACCAAGCGTCCCCATCCCATCCATGATGCCCATATACGCGCGGGGAATGATAACGAAATAAAGCGGTATAGTAAGTGCCCATATTTGTATCAAAGTAACGTAACTATATACGTCAGCGGCAGCAGTACCCGACGGTGATTACTGCCCTCGCAGTCCGTCACTGGCCAAGGGACACGTGCCCAAGGCCGTCCCAAGCACCGGGTTTGGCCGCCCATCTTCTCCCTTTTAAAGACATGCATACACGCAGAGCGTCATTGCATGAATCCTCGTAGTGTCACCAGCCCGCAGGGTCCCTTGTGAGGAATGCGAGTCAACCCCAAAGGATTGTTTTGCCTGGCGGAGGGATTGACCTCCAGCAGCTGTTGAGAGCTACCACACCACCTAGGCGCTTCGCGCAAGGTTCAGGAGTGGGATTGACCAAAGGACCAGTGCCTGGTGGGTATGTCCGCTGTACAATAAAAAGATGTAACGTAAAACGCGCGCGAGCAATCATGGACGGAATAGCTAACGGCGCGTCTGCCAACTGAATGACTCCCTGACGCCGCTCGCGTAACCCCTTGAGGGTGAGAGCACAAATGCGAGGACCGACATCCAGCAAGTGGGACGAGCGCACAAAGACGGCGCTCTAGAAGGGCTGAACGAGTGAAAGATACTCGCCTTAGTAAAGGGAGTAGTTCGATGTTTCTTGATTTGCCGCTAGTGGTTCAGGCGGGGCCCATAACCTGTCGCAGACAATACCGCGCAGTGGAGATACGACCAGTAGCGATCACCTATAGAGACAGAGTCTCAGCGAGTGTAGAAGACACAGAGCTAACATTAGCAGTACCTATAGAGACAGAGTCTAGGTACAAGTCATGAGTATGAGTCGTAAGAGATCATAAGAGAGTATGCATACCTCAGCGAGTGTAGAAGACACAGAGCTGAGGATATGGAGCGTATAGTACTAGGTTTATATACCAGTCTGGAGCAGATATCATGATGTCATAGTGGAGTAGTGATATCATAGATGAGTAATGGATGACGCAATAATGAGGTCAGGTATGAGGTCATTGTGGAGCGAGCCAAAGTAATCTAAAGATACTACATATGATGTCATGTCTACATACTGTGATAGTCGCTAATACAAACAAGCTTCAACATGCCCATGACACGCCGGGGAACGTACGAGCCGCTGGGCAGGACCACCTGGCCCTCGACGTTTCGTTTGCACTTTCCAGCCTGTGTATCTTCGTCAACACGCGGGCAACGGATGATAAAATGCCCCGATTCGCCGCAATAGCTGCAGTTTAGGTCTCGTGGCGTATTCTGGATTGAAGATGGCGCTCCCGTGCTCACTGGCCGGCTCTGCTGGGCGGCGACTGCTTGCGCCGTGACTGCTGCTTGTGCGGCAAGTACCTTCATTAGTGTGACAATCAACCCAAAAACAAAGTCGAAAAGAGAAGTGAATTCAAAGACTGGAGAATACAACCAAATAGCTACAGTATTTATACCCAAATCCAGTCTGAGTCATATCTACAACTAATGAGTCATAGGGCTATGTACCGCATGGAGCACTGGTCATGGGTTGTAGTAGAACCTTCCGGAGCATATGTCGCGCAGCCTCGAATCGATAAGGATAATCCCCTGGAACCCCTAGCCCGGACCGTCAGATGCCGTGATCCGCGATAAGATAATCCGTGTCGAGATAAGATAAGATCGTTGAGGATAAGATGAAAAAGAGTCGAATTATGACATTACCCCCTCTCTAGGGTCGATGTCCTCATCGACTAGGTCAATGGGCGTGAAGACGTTCTCGTAAGGGTCGAAGAGTTGTCGTTGGGGATATGGAAGGCGTTCGTCCCTGGGTTTGTAGCGATGAATGAGATAGTCCCAGTGTCCCGCTTCGAGCGTTGGCAGGAGGCGAATGCGTGTGTCTGGATTTGATTGTTTCCTCTGCCAATCTCTTAGGACCTGCTTCGCGTGGGTAAGGTGACGTGATGGTTCCCAGGTGTTCTCGCTATGCGGCCATCCCTTCCATTTGACCAAGTACTGTTTTCCTCGGCCGACGTTTCGCTCTTTCACAATCTCTTCGACTTCCCACTCCTCTGCTCCTCCGATCATCTTGGCTATGGGTCTCTTCTCTCGGCGATGGGGGGGTGGTTCGTGATATGGTGTCAATAGTGACTCGTTGAACACCGGGTGTCTTCGGTCCGTGTCCGGCAAATCCAGCTTCCATGCGGCCGCTCCAACCTTCTCCAGTATCTCGTATGGCCCTAGTCTCTTGTCGCTCATCTTTTTTGATGGTCGATCCGTCTCGATATTTTCCCCTTCTATGTACACCTTCATCCCAACCTTCAACTCCGGAACTTCTTTTCTTTGTTTATCGTAGTATTTTTTCATTTTTTCTTTTGCTTTTTCTAGTGCTGTTTTTGCTTTGTCTTGTATTTCTTTCATTCTTTTTACAAATTCCTCCGCCGACTCGTTTCTCGACTCCATCCGTTGCTCCACTCCCTTCCATGGGTGATATCCGTGATTCGCATAGAATGGCGATATTTTGGTAGATGTGTTCATTTTATCGTTATATGCGAATTCTGCCATCCCTAGCCACTCCGACCAGTCCGTCTGATGGTAGTTGACGTAGATGCGGAGATAATGTTCAATCTCCTGATTCATGCGTTCTGTCTGCCCATCCGTGATCGGGTGATATGCGGTCCCCGGATTCATTTCCACGCCCAACATCCGATTCGTCTCCCTCATGAAGCCCTTGATGTAACGCGAATCCCTGTCGGTGATGATCTTGCGAGGGATCCCGTGGTAGCGGAAGACTCGGTCCCTGGTTAGTCGTGCCACTCCTTCGCTGCTGATGTCAGTATTAATTGGTTCGACATGGATCATTTTGGTGAAGGTGTCACACCACACATGAATTGCGTCATACCCGTTGCTGACCGGCAAGGGTCCGATTTGATCCATGGAGATGATTTCCCACGGCGCGTTTGGAACTGCATGCGGGTGCAAACTCCCTGTCCTGGCTCTTCTGGTCTTGGTCCGCTGGCACGCTTCGCACGTCTGGATGTATTTCCGAATTTGGTTTCCCATCCTTGGCCACCAGTAGTTCCTTTCCACCATCTCCTGCGTTCGGTTGATCCCAGCGTGTCCGACCAAAGGGGTGTCGTGGTGTAGTCCGATGATTTTGTCCTGCAACTCCTCGTCCCTTGGTACGTAGAGCTTCCCGTGGTACGTGATAAGCCCCTCTTCCTTCTTCCATCCGACGAGTGACTTCTCTAAGGCCGCCTTGACGCTTCCATCAATTGATCGAATGGCCTTGATTTCATCGATTAGCTGCTGATCCTGCCCCTCGAATGTGACTTCTTGTGATCGGAAGAACTCGGGCTTCAGTAGCGTGACGTCCTTGTTGTCGTTCTTGCCCTGATCATGATCCGCTCGTCGGGACAGGAGGTCCGCCTTGCGGTTGAGTGCGCCGGGTCGGTGTCGTAAGGTGAAATCGAACTCCGCCAACTCCGTGATCCATCGTGCTTGCCGTCGATTGAGCTTCTGCGGCTTCCGAAAGTACTCGAGATTCTGATGATCGGTGAAGATCTGGAACGTTTCCGTGGCTCCCAGAAGTAACTGCCTCCATTCGTCAAGTGATAACATGATTGCGAGCATTTCCTTGTCGTAGATCTCGTAATTTCGCTCGGTTTCGGTCAATGCGTGCGAAATAAATGCGATTGGGCGCCAAATGCCGTCTTGGTTTTGGCTCAAAACTGATCCTGTTGCCCCTTCCGAAGCATCGGCTTCCAGACGATATTGGCCAGTGTCATTTGGCAGTGCTAGGACCGCATCCTCCGCGATTCTCTTCTTCAATCCATCAAATGCCGCATGCTCATCTGCACCCCATGACCATCCTGCCTTCCCTGTCAGCCGTGTCAATGGCTTGGCAACCTCCGCGTATCCCCGGACAAAGCGCCGGTAGAAGTTTGTGAATCCTAGAAACGCTTGGACTTGTTTGACGCTCTTTGGTTCCGGCCATTCCATCACGCCCTTGATCTTGACTGGGTCCATCCGCATCGAATTATGTCCAATAATTACACCCAAATATTCGATTTCCGTGCGTTCGAACTCGCACTTTTCGGGCTTCAGGTATAGCTTGTGTTTCTGGAGCAATTCGAGTACTCGTTTCGTGATCTGCCGATGTTCGTCCAAGTTCTCTGTAAAGATCAGTATATCGTCCAGGTAGACTACCACGTGACCCTCGTTGATCAGTTCTCGGAGTATGTCGTTCATCATGTTTTGGAAGGTAGCCGGGGAGTTCGTGAGACCAAAGAACATGACCAAGGGCTCGTACAGTCCACGGTTCGTGCGGAACGCGGCCTTCTACTCGTCGCCCTCTTTGATTCGTACGTTATTGTATCCCCATCGGATGTCGAGCTTGGTGAAGAACTTGGCGCCGCATAGATTATGGACCAGCTCGGAGATCAGTGGCAGCGGGTATCGATTTCGGATTGTCATCTTGTTCAGCTTCCGATAATCCTGGACGGGACGTAGCGAACCATCTTTCTTTTTGACAAAGAAGAATGCTGAGGCCATGGGTGATTTTGATGGCCTGATTCGTCCGCTGGCCAGGTTCTCTTGTAAGAACTCGTCGAGTTTGACCTGCTCGTTTCGTGATAGCGGGTACACTGTCATAATTCGACTCTTTTTCATCTTATCATCGACGATCTTATCTTATCTTGGCACGACTTATCTTATCACGGATCACGGCATCAGACGGTCCGGGCTAGGGGTTCCAGGGGTTATCTCTATTGATTCGAGGCTGCGCGACATATGCTCCGGAAGGTTCTACTACAACCCATGACCAGTGCTCCATGCGGTACATAGCCCTATGACTCATTAGTTGTAGATATGACTCAGACTGGATTTGGGTATAAATACTGTAGCTACTTGGTTGTATTCTCCAGTCTTCGAATTCACTTCTCTTTTCGACTTTGTTTTTGGGTTGATTGTCACATAATTCGAAGACTCCCCTCATACCCTCGTACCTCTTACCTTCTACCCTGCTCCGTGCACCGCTACGCCCGCTATATCCTCTTCACCCTTATCACCCCACTCACCCTTTTACCGAATCATCTAGTCGCTCGCTGCGATCGCAGTGAAAGGTTCATATCGAGCAAACAGCACCAGGCCACGGGTAACGTTGAGCCCGACCCAAGCCTTACGGTAGCTACAAGGAGTGCTGCGGAGACCTTCGGGAAAACGCACCTCGGGATCATCGGGCACGTGAAGAGCTAGGCCCGGGATCTTTTTGCTAGCAAAAGAACCTTTCCTCGAGTGCTTGTACAGCACACGAATCCACCATTTCGTACCGATTCCCATCGTCATCTGGGAGCCCATCCCCTCCCCCCATCATACCATCGTCGCCCGATCTGGCGCATCAAAACGAACCCGGACCCTCCAACCCCTACCTCGCCCTCCCGCCACCTGAAGACGAGATCCCCGACCTTGGCGAGTTACCCTCCGAACAACCACCCTCGCCCCCACCTACCGCACCTGCTCCTACCATGTCAGGACATCACCGCATCACCCTCGCTGCCAACCCCCCCTACTTCGATGGCGACAAGTCCAAATACCTGGGCTTTGTGGACGCGTGCACCACGTACATCGGTGCCTATCGATCGGAGTTCTCGCTGGATGAGACAAAAATCCTCTTTGTTCTGTCCTACCTCCGTAATGAGACCGGCACAAGCTGCGCCGCCTCGAGATGGGCGATGAACTGGAAGCAGCACAATTTCGAGGGTTTCCAAGGAATGAAGGCGGGAGTCACCGCGACAACCTTCTTGGAGGAGTTCCAAAAGGCCTTTGGGGATTCTAACGCAGAACAAGTCGCCGCTGCCCGACTCATGGCCCTTCGCCAGGGGAGACGGTCCTTCGCGGACTACATCTCTGACTTCGAAATGCTGGCTGCGGACGCGGGGTACAACGTGGTCGCCTCAACCGATGACAAGGGCGAGTACAAGAAGGGGGATCAGGACAACATCCTCATCGAGTTCCTCGAGCGCGGACTCAGCAGCGAAATTGCAAGCCGCCTCTACAACACCGGCGTTCCCCTGCCCAAGGCATACGGTGCCTTCAAGAACTGGTGCGTCAACATCGAGGCCAATGCCTTGCGCGATCAGCTGCGTAAGGCATCCTATGCGCACTCAACTCCGCGGCCCCCACCCCAATTCCGCCCTCAGGCTGCACCATCAGCACCTGCACCCGCTCCGGCCCGACCAGCGGCCAATGAGCCGGTTCCGATGGAGATCGATCGCACCCACGCCCGTGGCCGCAACATCATCTGCTACAACTGTCAGCAGCCTGGGCACATTGCGCGGAACTGCCCTGAGCCCAAGAAGAAGCGCACGTTCTTCAATCGGGCCACAATGCTAGAAGAAATCGAGAACGGGGACAAGGACAACGAGTTCCTGAAGGAGATCGCCGAGAAGCTGCGCGAGAAGGGTTTTTGAAGCGCTCCACTCCTCTAGCCAAGGAGGTGGAGCGTCCGGACTATGGACGTTTTTCTGTACTTGTTTCGATTAAAGACATGAACGATTCTACACATACATATACAATCTCGGACTCATTACGTACCAATATTCATGATTTTCTCATTGCTGATATGGAAAAGGAACGACAAAGAAAAATAGTTTTAAATAGAGAGTATTTACAAAGTAAAAAGGATCAGAAAGCTGCGGATAAATTAATTTCGGACTCCTACGTATTTATGGCTCGTGGAGAAGGAACTACGTCAACAAAGACCGAAAAGGGGAGCATCGCTCCGGAGGCTCAATCCTTGAAAAAGGAGGAAGCGCCCAAGGAATCTACCGAAATCAAGGTTCCAGAAGTACCCAAACGCACAAGGGTGCCAGATGCCGTTCAAAGGAAATTGGCGGCCGAGAAACAGAAAGGCCCCCAGCCCAGCAGACTGGCGCAGGAATTGCGCAACTACCAGGCCGAAAGGAAGAGACATTCGATGGACGTATATGTCCAGATCACAGGCCTGGACTCAGGAAAGACGCGCGGAGTTAAGGCGCTACTCGACAGTGGCTGTAGCACCTGCTGTATCGATACCGATTACGCGCGGG